GGGTGAGATCAGTTCAATCAGGTATGAGGGTGCACGATGATGGATGATGTTGAACGTGAGGAGAAGGATCTTGAATTGGATACGTTGAGGGAATAAGAGCCATTGTAGGGTGCGGATGACTGGAGTGATGTGATCGTGCTTTCTAGTGCGAGTGATGAGACGTGCATCGGTGTTCTGAAGTGTACCTTTAAAGTAGGCATTTCAAGTTAAAAAACTTATTTGCCTCTCGTTGACATTAGAATGAAGAATCCAGATTGGGACACATGTTTAGCGGAGTTGCAGTAGTTGACGAACATGGACGAATATGTACAGGCTCAAGCAAATATCCCATACAGGAGAAAGACTAAACTACGTACAATCTATTTTTTTGCGAGCATGAGCAAATGGTTTGAAAATTCAATATTTCTTTACATCCTGAAGAAAAAGAAAACAAAATCAAATTTATGATCGAAAAATAATCATCTGGAAAAAATACAGAAGCGAGGGAGCGTATTACCGAATGCAATATAAGGAAAAACAAAAAAATAGAATACACTGGTCACAAACTGTGCATAGTATTAATCAAACTTTGGAGCTTGTGAAGATAACTATCGTGAATTTATTAGTATCTTACGAAAGGGGTCTCGTGCTTTTTATTTTGCATGAGAACAACGTAATTAAAAATAATAATTACTTATTATTTATCAAAGTGAAGATATTTCATTAAAGTTGTAATGTCCAATATGGAAATCGATTCAAACACTAGCCGTTTATAATAATGACACATATACCAGGAATCCAGGATAATATTCTAATCAAATAATCCAGAGTATCGCTATCCTGCTCGGCATCATGAGGTGAAAAAGGATACTTAAATAAAGTTCAGATCAGATTATCAAAGCGACAAGAGTTTTACTACAGTCACAGCGCCAAACCGACTTGCCTCTTTCATCGCATTGTTAATGGAAATTGGATTGATTAACATGGTTAACATATTTTGTTTTGTAAAAGACATGATTTTTTGTTCATCATTAATTTTGTTGTTGTATCTTCTTCCATTAAGAAATTTATCATGAAAGGCTATGTCTAGCTCACACAAATGTCTCCTTGTTCTAGGCCGTGTTGTTCCAAGTTCGGCTACTGGAACAAAGTGCACTTCCTTTTCGCAGCTCTTCTGCACTTGTTATGAAACCATAGCTTATCCCCAGGTTTTTTCGTTACTGCCTTGCTTGAGATTAACATGTTTATAGTACTTACTTACGGCCCATTATGCCTCCTGGCATAATGGGCATGGGTATGGGTGTCGATCCCGGGGGGATGGCCTGTACAATCACCCCCCCCCCAATAATTCACCCTCAAAAAAAAAAAAAAATTAAGAGAAAAATTAATGATGAGTGCCGATGAGAGTAGTTAATGGTTATTACTCGCAAGATATGACCATCAATATACACATTTTGCTTTCTCATTTCCATAATACATACATATATACGAAGTAAATGAGACAACCGTATATGAGACAAGAATAAATTGAATTTCACACCAATTTCACACCGAGCTTCCGCGATACACGCGGAGGAAGGGGAACTTGATTCAAACATGAAGGATTAAGAGTCGAGAATGGTACATCGAATCGTCTTCTTTTTTTAATAATTTAATGAAACGTCAGAGCGTCGGAGAAAGGGGGAACTTGATTAAAACAAGGATAAAGAGTTGAGAACGGTCCAACGAATCGTTTTCTTTCTCTAATAATTTAGTGAAACGTCAAAGCTTCGCGCGCTCTGTAAGTGATTCGCACGCTTTGCGTGCTCACTACCGCCCCCTAAAATGAAATCCTGGCTACGCGCTTGGGGAACGGGTGCAACCTGCCACACGTACCTCTTGGTTGCTCCCCAACCACGGATACAAATCGACACCCTTGCACATAGGGCAGCAACAAAAGTCTTCCACTCCTTCCAGTCTTTGGATAGTATCCCATGTGTGGTTCAGGTCTTTAATCTCCCCTTTCACAGTTCTTCGCCAAGTGTTTTTAGGACGTCCCCTCTTTATTTTGCCTTCTGGTGTCCAGTGGAGGGCTGTTCGTGTGATGTCATCTATGTTCCTTCTCATAACATGTCCGATCCATCTCCACCTTCTTCCCGTGATGATGTTCTCCATGCTGTCTTGATGGCATTGGGCATACAGTGCTTCATTTGAAATGGTGTTTGGCCAGAAAATGCGGCATATTCTTCTCAGACTCTTTGTGTGGAAGACCGATAACTTATTGAGGTCGTTTTTCGTCATTCTCCAACATTCATAGCCGTACAGAAGAGTGGAAGAGACACAGCTCTGGTACAATTTTAGCTTGGTCTTGGTGCTGTACTGCTGTGATCTCCATATATTATTGAGCATTCTGAGTGCATTTCTGGCTTTATTCAGACGGTTCTTAATGTCTGTGCCTGCGCCTCCATCGTGCCTGACAGTGCTGCCCAGGTAAGTAAACTCCTCAGTTATAGGTAGGTCTTCTCCGTTTGCTTGAATAGGTAAAGGGTCCAATTAAGATGTTCAGGGTCATCACCTTTGTTTTCTTTTTGCTGATCTTCAAGCCAATTTGTTGGGCAAAATCACTGAGTCTGGATGTTTTTTCTTGCATATGCTGGTGGGTGTGTAAAAGTAGAGCGAGATCATCTGCAAAGTCGAGGTCCTCAAGTGTAGAAAAGAGGGTCCATCTTATGCCTCTTTTTTGGTCTTCAGTTGCCTGTCTCATCACCCAGTCTATGGCGATATTGAAGAGCAGTGACATGCCACATGTTTATAGTGTCAGAAGTACATTCAGTTACCCTTCTGCGGGTCTCCTTTAGATCTTTCAGTCTAAGGACAGTGGATCAGTCGACTGATAAAAAATGACCTCTCATGCTGTCCCAGTAGTATTCGTTTCTCTATGTGTACGGTAAAGCATCAAGCTGTAAAAGGAATAGGTTTGGTCTTCATTTTCCAGGCTAGCAAGAATGATTGTAGGTGATGATAGATCAGTCATACCAAAGTCAAGAATTTGATCTCCCCTTGCTGGTTCATTTACAATGTTATGTTAACAGCAAAGAAGGAAGAGACATAGGGAAATTAATAACACAATGGCAACCCATATTCGTGGAAAATGTTGACTGTAAAAGTATTTGAGATCACTTTACGGGTTATCATGTACGTATAAAAGTGTCTAGGCTATAGAATAGGTGACCTGTGGCAGAAAGGGAAAATCATGATGATGATAATAGTTGGATCAATTTATAAAGCGCAGCTAAGATAGAAATATATTATACTGTGCTGTGATGAAAAGAATCCTAACAGTGCTACTTTACAGACACATAATCAAAACTATTCAAAAGCTTCTAAAAACATGGGCGTTTTATGAAACTTGACGTTTTATGAAACTTGATGACAGCAAGAGGTGAGGCCTTACAAAAATGTCTAGTAGTAGGTTATTCCAAAGCTGTGGAATGGCCCAACTAAAAGCACAGAGGGGTGTATTTCTCCTAATTTTGAATCATGAGCAACTTTTTATTCGATGTTTCTTTGGTGATTATATTATAATATTTATTTCTGATCACAGCTCAATGCAACACAACCAATCTATTGGACAATGATATCATGGTCATGGTGAATGATAGTCAAAAAACTCTGGTCGATAGTCAAACTACAGCCGATTTTTCATGTAAAGGCCCTGGCCAGTTTACCGGTTCAGCATTAGCCCCATGCACGAATGGAACGTTTGATTATTCAGCCGAACCGTCATGTTTAGGTAAGTTTATAAGACTAGGTAAATATTTCCATTATTGGTGTGACTATAATTGCTGTCTGCAAATCAGCTCAAATTTTTCTAAAGTTAAAGATATTCCCGGGCTCTGATGGATTAAATTACTAATTCAAGCTAAACTGACACTAACCGATCCTCGTTACCCTGCATAATGAGGTTTAGAAAATAAATAAAAATGAAATGTATTTAAGTCGCACCATGATAATATTGTCTTTGTAAAAGGGGAAGTCCAATCTGATATTAAAACCGATTAAAAATTCTCCAAAATTTTTGACACATTTGCAACGTATCTTGCGAGCTTTCCTCCCATTTGCTCTATACTGAAGGACCTCAGAAATTTAACATTTTCCCTCCAAAATATAATTCATTCATATATTCTCCCTGAACATAAGAATTGCAAATACTTTTTGTATACAACCACTGTATGAAACAAATCGATTCCTTCATATATAACTAAGGAAATTTAATTTTAATGACATTTTCTGAGCCGGAGAGGAGCTCGTAAGGTAAATGTACGTCACAGTTTTGCCAATTTGTGTTTCACCGGTGACAAATTTATAACCTTCCTATATTTAATCGGTTATTGCTTAGACTTTCACCAATATGTTTCCCTCAATTTTCTGCTCAGGGTGGGCTTCTTCTTTAACTTTTATTCCTTCCTCCTTACTTCTGGTATACATTTTTTGATTTCTGTTTACTGTTTACATGCTTGCGTTTTTCTCTGGCAAGTTAAAGACGGAAAACATCAGTTTGTCTATAACTGAAAATGTTTCGTCGCTTGCACCTTTCAGCGAAAGTGAATTTCAGCAAGTTTCCGGTACCATACGTGTCGATTTTACTTTTCAAAAGAAAGAAATCTGGCGTATGATGAACAAAGTAGAATAATTTTTATGTCCATCGGACACGAGGCGTCATTTTTTTGGAGGTAGGGTAGCGTCAGGGATTTGCTCGGCCATTGACGCTCCGATCGGAGTGAACACAAAAAACAGTGCATGCATAAATTGCGTTGACTGCATTCACATGTTGGATTGATGCAGGTAATGACGAAATCAAAATGATACCTCGTTTGAAGATTGTTGACGGTATATAGTACAGAATGAACGTGGAGTATATTTATGGTAATAGTGTATACGCGTTGGTCGATTACCTTTTAACTTGTAGGCTATATGAGGAACAGTCATTAAGAAAGGTTTCTGCATCCTTTTTCATCCAAGCTTACTGTACAGTAAACCTTGACGAGTTAGGGTTAGGCCTTTACTACGATATTGCCGACGACCCAGTTATGAATGAGACCAACACACTCTACTACTATAGGGACGAAGATGTAATTACATACAGATGTTCAGATGGGTACGAAGGTCCCCAAAACCGCACATCATCCGATGACGGCACGAGCACATGTATCGACGGGTCGTGGGACCCACCTGGAATCCCAACATGCATGGGTAAGTGACCAAAGTCTAATTAACCGTAGAATAACATTCAAAATTCCATTCCTAGGATAAATTATGTCTTCAGTGGGTCTTGATCGTACTTGAATATTTTTCTAACATTATATATTTATATATAAAATAATATAGTATATATAATTGAAACTCAATATTCCCGTTGACTACTCCCATTTCCATAGAGCGAGTTGGCTCAGTCGGTAAGCGTCTGCCTGCCGAACCAAAGATCTAGGGTTCAAATCCCATGCATCCAGGCGGAGGACTGAAACCTGCATTGTGTGCTAACGTGACCCTCCCATTATAAACGGAGGCTATGTTAAGTGGAAAACACTCCGTCCCTCGGGTAGGACGTTAAATGGAGGCCCCGTGTAGAGGAGAGTCACCACCTTTGCACATTAAGAACCCACTGCACTTTTTGTATAAGAGTAGGGGGAAACCCCGGTGTAGTGGTCCACCTGCAGACCCCAGTATTTACAAACATTCTGCAAGAATCTTCAGTATTGAAGGAGGCAGATTATCCAGAAGAAGAAGAAGAAGAAGAAGAAGAAGAAGAAGAAGAAGAAGAAGAAGAAGAAAGATAATACATGAATCAACGGTTTAAGTAGGCAATGGGTTTACCTCCCAAAAATAGATTCTCTCTCAAATGACTGATAAATATTTGTGTTCATCAAATGTTTTCTGTAATCTTTGTATTATTTGTTGGGAGTGTCAGTGGGTTGGGTGTGTCATGGAAAGATGCATTTCTGCGACATCCGAATTTGAACTTCGCATATTTTTATTTACAAGATTTTAATAGTTGTATAGATGTTTAATAAAAACAAACATTTCTTATTGTTCATGTAAACACTTTTTTTTAATATGAATATTGATATGGGAGACTTGAATAACTGAAATTGGGTAGGAGACATTATAGCCATTATATATCAAAATTAGCAATAATATAGAATCATGTTAATAATTTTTTAGTAATAGAAGTAAGAGACCGAAATAGTAATAATAGGACTATAAGTAGTAGTAGTAGTAGTAGTAGTAGTAGTAGTAGAAGTAGTAGTAGTAGTAGTAGGTAGTACTACTAGTAGTAATAGTAGTAGTAGTAGTTGTAGTAGTACATTGTTGTAGTAGAAGTAGTAGTACAATGGTAGAAATAGTAATGATAGTCATAATAATGACAATAATGATAACGGTGATGAAGATGATGATAATAATAATAATAATAATAATAATAATAATAATAATAATAATAATAATAATAATGGAATTGTATATATAAATTGTTAGTGGTATGTGTAGTATTAGCAGTAATAACATAAGTAGTAGTGGAAGTAGTAGTAGTAGTAGTAGTAGTAGTAGTAGTAGTAGTAGTAGTAGAAGTAGTCGTAGTAATAATAGTAGTAGTAGTAGTATTAGTAGTAGCAGTAGTGTAGTAGTCTTGGTAGTACTAGTATAGTAGTAGTATAAGTACTCGTAAGTGTTAACTTGTAGAGTACTACTAGTAGTGGTTGTTGTTATTCTTGTACTAGTAGTAGTAATAGAAACAGAAGTAGTAGTATAGGAGCAGGAGTAGCAGTACGATTACTAAGGATTGTTATTGTTAATGAATACGTTTAGACCCATCGAGTAATGCGACAACAATCCAGACCCCAAGCCAATCTACAACAGATGATATAAAATTGTCTACCAGACTACCAACCACAGAACCGACTATAAGCGTTTCCACTAATTATGATGTAACCACCAATGAGCAGCTAAATACTCAAAGAATTACGACTATTGGTAAATTGTAGTATTTGATACTGTATTTATGTATAACAATTATCGTTTAGGTTAGTATATACAAATATTGGGAAAATGAATTGTTCCACGAGGGTATTTATATATCCAACCAACTTTTTCGGCATTTTCTCTACGCATCTTGCTTAATATTTTGCCTACTTAAACTAAATAGTCTATATTTGAAGCCTTTTTGGACGAAACTTTATTCAAGTTTGGTTATAAAAATGCCTTAAGTTGGTTGATTACATAATTACCCTTGGCTGGGCAAACTTCTACCCGATGTTTGTAAATAGTGTAGTAGTATATATTTTAGAATTGCAGTATAGTATAAATTACAATCATGTATATAATCCCGGCATTATGTATAATCAAGGTATAGTTTTTTTTTTAAAGAAGATCATTGTATAGTTTCTTTTTATAGTAGCACAATAGTATAGTTAGAGTTCTTGTTTTGAAATATTTAAAATCATGTGTATATTACTTTTATTCGATTTCAAATTGGTAGTATCAGCAGTGGTAGTAGTAATAGAAAAATACAAACAGTAGTAGTAGGAGAAGTAGAAGAAGTAGCAGCAGCAGCAGTAGTATTAAAATGGTACGTCAAAATCGTTATCGTACTTGTAGTAGTAGAAGTAGAAGAAGAAGAAGAAGTAGAAGTAGTATGAGTGGAAGAAGAAGTAAAAGTAGTAGTTGTAGTAATAGAAGTAGTATTAGAAGTAATAGTGATATTAGTAGTAGTAGTAATATAAGAAAAAATGTTAGTATAAATTGCGTTATATGCATGGTGAATGTGCAAGACATTTGACCAGAGTAGAAAACCTAGACGAGTATAGCTTTATTTATTCTTCTCTTTTGATTCTATCCCGCCCCCGGAAACTCTATCATCGTCAGTTGATAGAAACAATTGAGTATAGGCTATCCAATTTATATTGTGACAAAAACTGTCTGGACTAAACGGGAAAAGTTTCGTTATGTAGTACACAATAACTGGTGTTTACTATATACATTTTCGAATGATGAGTTAAAGAAAAACTAAAGTGATTGACTAAATCATCCTACATATCACTTGCACCGCACACATAAAAGAGCGTATGGAACTACACGCATATGTTTCGTCCAAACTCTTTATCAGCTATTTATTATCATGTTTCTAAATATACTCCATTTTAACAACGATCCCTATCAGAAGACATTTCTACTATGATATTCTTCCAAATTGACATAAACATAAACAAATCCCATGGATCATGTTTAAATGTCCCCAGAGCTCGATCCACCTGTGAATTGGCGTTTGGTCTACCACCGGTTCGTCTACTATTCACATGGTCTAATGATCTTTTCGCCTCCTTATCCTTTGGTATAATGACCATTGATGATAATAGTCATTTGGTCTAATTTCCATACGGTGTAATCTCCAATTAGTCTACTTAAACATTTTGTCTACTATATCCATTTGCGCTATTTGTCTATTGTTCATTTAGTCTCAAAACCAGTTAGTCTAATTCCAAGTCGTCTAACGCCCGTTTGTCTTCCATCCATAATGTCTAATAATCACTTTATGATTATCATTATTTATGATCGAATGATTTTTACACCATATTGATAGTATACTCATTGGAGATTAGAACATATGGAAATTAGACCAAATGACTTTTAGCCTAAATGGTAATCAGATGAAATAATAATTAGACCAAATGACTTTTAGCCTAAATGGTAATCAGATGAAATAATAATTAGACCAATGATAAGTGGACGAAGTAGACGGGCAGGGTGTAGACCCTATGTGATGGACTAATTGACAATGTGGAGTGAACGAACTGGTTGTAGACGTTTACTTCAACAGAAAACAACATTAGTATTCCTCCCGGGGAATAACTCTCTCTCTCTCTCCCCTAACACTATGCTTTCATAGAAAATTGCTTTTGATTTTAAAATGATGTGAAGAAGTAAAGTGGACAGGTGTGAAACTGTTCGATAAAAGGAACAATGGTGAGATAATGGAAAGGTTGGGTCTGGAAGAAACTGTGGTGAAAGTGGTAAAGATGAGTGTATTGAGGTGCATGGGTCATGTGTTGAGAAAGGAAAGGTGATGAGCCTGTGACAAGAGCATGGGAACTGGCAGTGGGTGGCTTATGAGGGAAAAGAAGACTGCAGATTTCATGGAAAGAAGAATAAAGAAAGCAGTACGGTTGGTCGAAATTAGGAGGATGCTCGAGACAAGATGAAGTGGAGAGAGGGGGAGTGTCAGTTTGTCGCGATGGTCAGCAACCAAGATGGACAATGGTGATTTTAATAATGAGATTTGATGCTGAATATGATGATAATCACACTTTTCTTTTTATTCATGACAGATATCGATGAGTGCTCTGATAGTCCTTGTCTGAACAACGGAAACTGTACTGACCTGATCAATGGATACCAATGCCAATGTGCTGACGGATTTAACGGGACTAACTGTGGCAATAGTAAGGATCAAATCAAGTCTAGGGTTGGGTGCTGGATTGGCTGCGTGGGGGGGGGGGGGGGCGGTGGTGGTTATAGTTGAAATCATGTATTATCAGCAAGTGCATACAGGTGATAGACTGCTAAATGTGTCCAGGATGAAGAGATACAAAGTGTTTTATAGGCACTTTATACAGTGTTTACCATGTTATTATGTTTTTTGTTTTTATAATTTGAATACGGTGGTAAGAAAACCTGATGAAACCTTATAATGCAAAGCGCGCAGAGAATTTAATTGTATTCATTTTGAGGCAACAACTTTAACGTTATCCTTTTCATTATTATTATTATTATCATTATTATTATTATTATCGTCATTATTACTATTATCATAATTATGTTCATCATCATTATTATCATTATTATCATTACTTTTTTTTATTATCATTATTATTTAATTGGTACGGACTCGCAAAACACCAAACGTTATTTTTGAGTTGAAAATATTTCTCTATTAATATTTGAAAATACTAAATATAGATTGAGACCTGCCTTTGATTTTTTTAAAGTTTGTTTTATTCTAAATATATAACCACTTAAAATATTTTTCAGGGAATACTTATATGAACAAAAACCATTAGCTTTATGTTTTATCGAAGAGCTAAAATAGAAAAGTCGGAAAACTCAAGTTAAGGAGGCCTCCCGAGGCCTACAGATAGTATATCATAGTATATCAACATGAAACCAAAATGCAATTCCGAGTGAGATCAAAGAAACACAGTCTCATTTTGATCACACAAACGTAATATTATATTTCCCCAAATGTATTTTTTACCGCAACAGGTGTTTATCGGGATGTGGGTAGTGTCCAAGTCTTTTTCAAATACACATGTCTTTAGTATTTGCAAGTTCTTTCTGCTATTGCCTCGTGCTTCTGGAGCACAGTAGTCATGTAGAACTGGCGCATTATAAATATTATAATCATTTAGTAGGAGTAGTACATAAGTCAATTCATTATGTTTATACAAATAAATATGGATATTCGGGTTATCATTCAACAACTCGTTTAACTTGCAACGTCATGAAAATTTTCAACTCTTATTTTGATTAATAGATATTGACGACTGTGCAAGTCATGAGTGCGAAAATGGAGCAACATGCGTGGACGATATTGCTTCATACGAATGCCAATGCCCTGACGGGTTTAATGGAATTTATTGTGAAAATGGTAAGTACATGCATAGTCGCTCATCAAATTGAGATAAAATATTGGGAAGACCTCTTGAAACTATTTTTTCTTTGAAATTATTGCAGTTTAGATCAAGGGAAATGCTATGAAGTTATTTATGCCATAATTCCAAATACACTTTATTTGTTCATGTGAGCCTTTTGTAAACAGATATCCTATGATTAAATCAAAAGGACATCGATTTTATTTGTAATGGCATTGTTTCAACAAATCAAACAATTAATATTTCTTTTGATTTAATATTGTTTTTCACAAAATCGTCACTTCCCAGTATACAAATGGTTATATGACACTTGGAGAACGATACTAAACGACAGTGTATTGAAAATAAATGATTGCAATGTGCTTCTATATAGAATGGAGATCGTTAAAGATAAAATAATTTTGTGTTTGTTTTATATGAGTACTATTATTATAATACATGAACTATGTTTATAGTAAGGCGCTTTGAATCATTGAGTAATCAGTGCTTAAAGTCACCATGATTATAAGCACATTTTCTGGCAACATTCTTTGAAAAGACAAAAGGCCTCCGACGGGCAAGCTAGCTAGCTAGAAGAAGAAGAAGACTGAAAGGGAGAACAATGATGATTATCATGATAAAATAATAATAATTATTATTATATTAACTATGATTATACTAAGAAGATACAAATAATACAAAATAATAATTATGATTATATTAAAATAAAGAACAACAAATAATATAACAAAAACAACAAGAAGAAGAAGATCGGATTATCACTAAATGTCGTATGGGGGGGGGGGGAGGGTACACCTGCACTGAAGACTGTGCACATTTTTTTTCCAGCCAGATTTGGCGGGGTGGGGCTAATGCCCCTCAGATACGCCAAAATCTTGTAATGCATTTTGATGTTTCGAATTTTTTTCTGTATTACACGGATTATGTCGATTAGTACTAGCAAACTTTCGACCAGAGCCATCTATACACAGAGTTTGGCCTACGCGGTTCGAGTTGCGCACATTATGATGAATACTGCTTTGTTGGGCAACGACAAAACAAAACAATAGACAACACGCTGGGCCAAACTGAAACATAGTTGGCCAAATTCTGCGTTTAGATAGCTTTGCCATCGACTGGTTAAAATTTTCAATGAAGGCAAACGTTTTAATCGGTAAAAAAAAAAAAGTGGGAAGCTGTAGCCCATATCATTCAAGAACTATCTGCCCTGCCCTTTCCTTAATTCTGATAGAAATAATATTCTGAGTAAGCATGGAACAAATAGCTTAAAGACCGGTAGTGGTAAAATTGCGGTTCAAAGTATCCATTCAATATTGTTTAAATATTGGCTTCAGAAGTTTAAATGGCAATACTTCAACCTAAATTCTCAAAAAAGCAGAAATATATGCTTAAATGTTCATGTTGAAGTGCATTCGCGATTATCTATCCAGGCCCGATCGATATCATAATTTACCAAATATATCAATTAGTAGGCGGTTTCCCGGCAAAATGTGTATCATCACGTATTAGTAAAAATACATTCTTTCACATGATGGTAATAAAAGCTTCCATGTCATCTTTTGAGAGGGGGCGTTTCCAAAACCGGTCTTTACCTTTAATTATAATAAAATTATAATATCATATCAAGACTAAATCGGCATTGGGAATTTCTCCTGTTTATTATATCAGTGACGTTCTTTATCCGATTTATCTCAAACTAACCAATACTTCTCTCTGTAAGTTCAAAAATGATTTTCTTCCACACTGACATAGAAAGAATAAATAATTATACAACTTTTTGTTGAATTAGGAACTAGTACCAGATCTTTTACTTTCTCTTAAATTTTTCCCATTTACCACAATAATTTGTTTTACATTCCATTACACACAGCTTATCCTGATGATTTAATTCTGATTTCAATGCGGATTCATTGAGCATTGATCAAGTAGTTAATCATTCATTATCTTACCATATCTAAATCATTTAGTATTCATGTCATAAGAGTTTATTAGGTAGAAAGCAGATTTTTAGGTGATACGTAACGAAGTCAACGTATCACCTTTTGATTTCGTCAAGATTTTTATTATTATTTATTTATTATTATTCTTCCTCGAATTTGTTCGCAGGATATCTCAAGACTGAATAAAGCCATTGTTATGAATCTTTCAATGATGATAGATCTTAGTCTAACTTAGAACTGTGTGACTTTTCAAAGACTCAAAATCATCGTGACGTCATCCAGGCGCCATTTTGTGAAAATCAACTTATGATCATATCTTCATAACGGAAAGTAATTTTTCATTCATATTTATCATGATTAAGATCAATATCCGTCGGGTCAATTTGAGGTCAATAAATGCGCGCAAAAATGCGCGTACGCGTAGGCGCGCGCGTTAATGCGCGCGTAAAATTTTAAATTGCTCAAAATCGTCTTAAATTTTTTTTGCATACGTTTCAGGCCATTATAAGCATTTCATAAAAAATCACGCAAAACACGCATTTTTGCACGTTTTCGTTCGTCACGGCCGAACGAAAAATAATTTCTCCGCAAAAGCTTTTGACCGAATATTCCTCATATTTTTCCGGAAAATTTGATACCATGTTTAGCTCTTTATCACTATTAAAAACGGAATGAGCGTCCGTTCAAGATAACCGTCCGTACGCGCGATTTTTGTAATACATTGCATATATGGGCAAAAACATGCCTATAAAAAGTCCATTGGGATGAATAGGGATTGCCAATTTTTTTTTCATATTTAGATAGAGTATGAGTCGGAGGTATGATTTCATATCTCATTTGGCCATTAAGTACATCTTGACGGCATCATAATGGCCTTGGAAGTCAAAAATACAAAATTGCATATTATGACGTCATTGTATTTGTGGAAAATGTAGTGTATTTCTCTCAATATTCATCGATTCTCTTTGAAATGTCGATATGTTGTAGATAAGGCAATTCTCTACAAGATCACTTTTCACTAAGTTTCATTTTAATGAGGTCATCATAGTACAAAATTCAGTTAAAGGCCACATGTCAGAATTTTCGTCATTTGCGTGTTATGTCTATGGAAGGTGAATTTCGTTCACATCATGAATCTACATGGCATTCATCTATGAGCACTATCTATCTTATGTGTGCTCTGTTTTCTCCCAAATTGGGGTATGTTATAGCTGAGACCATGGGCTATAAAAACGGTGCTTTTAGTTTTTTGATCAGATGATGAGATCATGTCACAATTTTCAGTTGAATGTTGAAATGATGAATATGTCACGTATGTCCTATTTGTGAAACTTAAACGTTAGCAGTGTCCTCGTATTGAAATTATGTAAGGAAACCCTTTTACTTTCTTGACTTTACTCTCAGACACTAGTGAGTGACTGACTGACATCTTTTTTTCTCTGGTAATAAAATACATAAAATGAGCGTTATAGAGAAGATGAGCATTCGGCTACATTAATAACCCACTCTGTTCTCATTGTTCATTTCTTATTCAAGACTTGAATAATGACGAACTTCATTCAATATTTGGTAGTAATACTACAGATACTTATACTGATATCAATGATTTAAACTATTTATCCGAAAAAGAATATGAGTTTCATTTCAGTAGGTTTCTGAACTGTAAATATTATATTGATGAGGATTTTACGACTGAATTCAGTAACATTAACTATCATTTTAGTATTTTACATTTTAATTCGCGTAGTTTAAACATACATTGTAATGCTTTATCCAATTTCATCTGTACTTATGTATAGAAACTTGGGTTAATGATAGTACGCCACTATTATTCAATGTGTCTGGTCATTCATTTATACATTTTAATCGCCAAGTAGAAAAGAGTAGAGGTGTTGGTCTATTGGTCGCTGACAATTTTGAATATGAAATACGCAATGATATATTTATATTATACCCATCATACAACTATGAATCACTGTTTATTGAAAGCAATTTGCCGAGACATAATAATATTATTGTAGGTGTCATATATAGGAAACCCCAATCAAATATCAATGATTTCATCCCTGTCTTTGAAAATGTTTTACAAAAAACACATACTGAACATAAACAGGTTTATATAATGGGAGATTTTAACATTGATCCTGTGAAATTTACTGGCAATGCTGTTTGTAATTTCTTGAGCGAAATACATTCAAATCTTTGTATTTCTTTAATTGACAAGCCTTCAAGAAAGACTGACGGATCAATATCCCTCTAATCCACATTCCTTATACAGTGACAGTATATATCCATCCGATATTTAAAGATTTTATTTTCAAGCAACTAGTGAATCTCACGTCGACAACTCAAAATGATCGTTAATGTATTCTCACATTTATTTTGACTTTTCATTTACGCCGGGACATCGTGACGTCATACACTATTCATTTTTAATTATTCAGGCATAAGTTCTTATTTATCAATTACATTTTCATTTCTATGAAAAAGATAAAATTCGTCAAAATGCGTTCTTCATGATGTAAATTAGAGTCAAAGGTGTAACTGGTTACTGCACAGAGTCAATGGTCATATATTGTCTCAATCTATCTTCCCTAGATCCATAATGATCAAGGGATCGACATAATTTAAACTTGACATATGGATAGATCATTATGGGAGGAGCATTTTATAAAATAATATGATATCGTGTATTGCATTCTTTGTTATGTAAACCAATATCATACGTATCACCTAATTCGTCTAAGTGACGAATTAAAGTCTAGTTTAAACTTGTATTAATCAATCAATATTTGTTTGTTTCTAATCAAATGCAGTGAATATTTTAAAATATATATGCCAGTCAGATTTCAATTAATTCTCTTGTAATATTGATATTACTTATATGTTTACGCTTATATGTCTTCCCTTTGGTTTTGGCTGGCTCTTTTTATATTTGAAAACAATAATTGGAAGAAAACCCTCATAATGCTAGAATTAATCAAAATTAAATCTAAACTAACAGTTTTATTTGCATTTTTTAAAAGTTCAATAAATAGATCTGAATTAACATGCGTGGAAACTAAACATTCATCTTTAAATGTAATTTGCTTGTCTTCGTATTAATGACTACCGCAGGAATGATGACAACGATGGAACTACCGACTTCGATGGAGACGACCACGATTGCGGATCAGTCGACAATAGCGTTAACGACTACGAAGGCTTCTACAACAGAAGGGTTGCCGACTTCGCTTCCTAATTCTACACCACCTTCAACACCGATGACACCCACCGATTCTTCGACGACATCGGTAGTAACGCCTGGCTTGGCAACCGTCACTTCTGATGCGACGAGTCTTACGCCTGGCTTGACAACTGTCAATCCCGACACGACGAGTCTTACGCCTGGCTTGACAACTGTCACTCCCGACACGACGAGTATTACGCCTGGCTTGACAACTGTCACTCCCGACACGACGAGTATTACGCCTGGCGTGACGACTGTCACTCTCGACGCGACGAGTATTACGCCTGGCTTGACAACTGCCACTCCCGACGCGACGACTGCAACTCCCGACGCGACGAGTATTACGCCTGGCTTGACAACTGTCGCTACCGATTCGACGACTGTCACTCCTGCGATTTCAACAGAGACGGCAACTCCGACGGTTCCGGAGTCGACTACAAAGTCGGATTCCACAACATCGTCGAACCCTACCTCATTGTTACCAGAGACAACAGAAACCGTATCTGTTCGATCGACATCGCCTGCTGATCCCACTGAACCTTCACCGACGGAATCACAGGAGACGACTGCGATTTCAACAGAGACGGCAACTCCGACGGTTCCGGAGTCGACTACAAAGTCGGATTCCATAACATCGTCGAACCCTTCCTCATTGTTACCAGAGACAACAGAAACCGTATCTGTTCAATCGACATCGCCTGCTGATCCCACTGAACCTTCACCGACGGAATCACAGGAGACGACTGCATCGCGAAAGACTAGCCCTAGGACACCCGAGAGGACAGAAAAACCGCCTACTACTCCATGTAAGTCATGTACATAATGCCGCGCTGAAATTCAGGCAGTGGCGGATCCTGGGGGGGGGGGGGGCCGGGCCCCCCGGGAAAAAGCGTGTAAAAACACGTTAATTTTACCTTTTTTGGAGATGGGCTCCTAAATTTTCGAGGGCCCCCCCCCCAAAAAAAAATGTGGACACTACCCCCCCCCCCCCCCCCCCCACTGAGCGAATATTCGGCCGGTACGATTTTCAAATTTTCGGGAGCAAAAAATAAAAAATTGGGCCCCCCCTAAGAAATCCTGGATCCGCGTCTGACTTCAGGGGAATACATTTTCACAGGGACCTTTGTTACAACACTTTGTATGCATACGTACGTTTGCCTGACTTGAAGTCACTTCAATTAAAATGTCAGCATACCTCCTCCCCAACCCCCAACCCCTCCTAACAAAACAAAAAAAGCAAACAGTATTAAATAACAATAGGTTTAGGTATTATGTTTCGTCCCGAGTTGAAGTTAAGAATTTGTTACTGTAGGATATGGATCGCAGACCAACGGTTGCCAGAGTATTATATTATGTAAGACCCCTTTAACCTCGTAATATTCTCTCTTGATAGTGCCGTGCGGAGGGGGATGTGTAGCAACCCAGGTGTGTAATGCAGAGAACAACTGCGAATGCAGACCAGACTACTACGAAAATGAAGATGCAGAGGACTCAGAAAACCCGTGCAAAGGTACAGTTCTAGTCGTGAATCCAGGGAGGATCAAGGGGCGGGAGGGGTGGGTGCCTGTACCCCCCACCTTCTCCCGCTGAACCCGGAAAAAAAACCTAACAAAAGAGGAAAAAAATAATTAGGAATCATAGGCTGACGTCATTTTGTTTCCTTTTCCCTGGCCTCTCTTGTTTTTTCGCTCGTCACAGAATGTTTGGATTTGTGCCCCCTCCCCCTCTCCCCATGCCAGATGATCTTGGATTTGCCACTGACTATTCACCCTTAACTAGCGTTCTTCAAATGATTGAACAATCATTGGACTGCCACAGTCGACTTTTGTCACACGTAAAGTAACCAAACAATGTGACAATCTAGAGTGGAATCATGAGTAAGAGGAAAGTCCTAAAATACCATTTATTTTAATAATCAATAAAACTAAATATTTCAATAAATCCAAGAGATAGAGTATGTTCATCTCCATATCCGCTAAGTGAAGTACATTCTCACGTACTACAGTTTTCCTGCACAAATTATAGCATTTTGTTCTTTTGTTAAGATATAAGATACATGCATTTCTTGATAACTCCCAAAAATGTATACTCCAAAGTTCTTTGGAAACGCGTACAGACGTTATATCATAATGGGATATGCATTGGAAAAGACAGGCATTTTATAATAATAATAATAATAATAATATGCCATATTATTATGGTAAAATATCAGTATTATACATTATGTTTGTTAATGATAATAAACTATATAGTAATAATAGTAATATTAGTAATATTAGTATTTATTCAAAAATGTAAATTATTGTTATGACCTTTTCTTTTCCAGAGCCCGAGAGTATTGATGTGACCATAAAAATCACTAAAGTCAACGGCACAAACGCAGAATACAACGTACAATTGGAAGATCCAACAAGTAAAGAATTTAAAACGCTTGAACGTGAAGTTTGTGAACCGGTAATTATTAATATGTCATCAATTTACAAGCACCATACCCTGCCCCCCTAAAAATAAGAAGACTGTTATCAACATAACACAGGAATATCAAAGCAATATCTATATTGCTTAAAAAAAACTGTCATTTGGGGACATCATGTTATTTCTCTGGCAAAAAAAAAAAATCGTTGAAGTGTTAACTTTGAAAAGCAAATGGTATGCTTAGAAGTGTTATTGAAAGCTCGATTTAAAAGACAATCCAGAAAGCAAAAAAATAAGATAACAGAATTGCAAAAGTTCGAAATAAATCGGACCAATAATGAGGAAGTTATGAAGGCTTGAAATGTGAGATCGCTATTAAAGTCTATGCGAATTTCTAATTGAAAGTTTGGTCAGTGGATTGTGGCGTTGTCGTGAATAACTCTCCTGCTTGTAGTGCACACAAATATCATCAATTTCTGTTTTTCTTTGAAGTGCCTTCTCCCTTGGGGCACTATGAAAAATATAATTTTTGGATAGCATATTTTCATAGGTCCTCTAAAGAGAATAGACCCTCCTGAGCCATAATTTCTAAAATTGAAATTTTAGTCATTTTGTGTGTTGGAACAAATGGGACAGTTTTCCACCACTACATGAAGGAGACATAACCGATTCAGCCAATTTGAAGAGCCAACTTTCACAAATTCATAACTTTCTCATTTTTCATCCGATTTCATACAAATGTTCACCAGTCTACTTCTATGAGGTTTAGGCTTTCCTCTTAGGTATATATATATATATATATATATATATATATTATCAAGGTTAGATTTCTGTATAGGTGTTGCTTAGGTTCCGTACGCGCCCTACTATATCCCTTTTCTATCCGATCATGTACGCATGCATCACTCTAGTATACTCATCAAATTGTTTTAGTTTCAAGTTTCAAGTTTTAAGTTGAATGTTCCACATTTTACAGAAAATATAAACATATAAACATACATATAAAATAAAATAACAAATTATACATTTCAATTGTAGTATAAGTGTTTGCTTAGTGCGTGTGACTGCAAAACCTCTTTGTAGAACCAATATTTGACGCCCCTATATTGAATGTAGCGACATAAAACCCTTATAGTATAGTATATTTGTAAAGCGCTTAGAGACATTTGTATTAAGCGCTATATAAAAATTAAATATTATTATTTTATTTTATTATAGCACGGGATAAACATGTTTTTCTGATGACACATTCAAGTCGCTTTCCAAAAATAGACGGTTATACACTTTCCCATTATGAATTAAGGTAACGGTAAGATTTTTCCAACCAACTCTTGGGGGAGGGGGGGGGGGGGTAAACTGCCCTTATAATGTGAATTGTAAGAAATGTATAGGAAAAGATGATCATGGGGGTAGAACAGTTCCCAAAGTTGCTTCTTTTACTCATTTTGTCCTTCTTTCATTGATAATGAACACACAAAGCTAGCGAATCCTTGAATTATCTTAAGGTCAATTATCGTCAGCAAAACACTTAACCCATGATTGATTTGTAAATTTTATCTTTTATATTTAGTTTGAAGAAATATACAAAAATGATACGGAGTACAAAGGCTGTCGTGTACTTGAATTCAGTAACGGCAGCATAATTGTAAACTACGCATTGACGTTTGCTGAAAACTCAACTCAAAATGCCTCGACTGTCAATACAAGAGTGCAGGAAGAATTTCAGAATCCGAATGGTTCGTTTACTGGAGACTATGAGTTTGATGATTCGTCCCTCGTTGTTGCACGTAAGACTTCTTTCCTTTACTTTAATACGTTCATTTACAATGACAGAGGTGATTTTGAATGTGAATCACAGCGAACAATATTTATAAGTCCCAATTTGCCTATTGCAAACGATGCGTCATTTTGACTGCGGTCTTACTTGCGCTTTGAATCAAAGCTATGAATGTAATCAACCCGTACGCCAATGATTCAAGGCTTGTGACTTTTGTCATTTTGCATCGTACGATATCACTCATACATATAGTGTGACGGTTGCGCTAATAGCTGACGCAGTGTATGTCAGGCAGATGACTCCTCATGTGCATCAGGCATAAGATCACATATCTCCTCTCCTCGCCCCATGAATTGAACAAGAACAATAGCTTAATATATGGCGCTCTTATTCACGGGCTCAGATGCAATTATTGTTACCATTACAAGCCACACTTTTCAATAAACCCATCATATTCACATGTCACATAGAAATAGTCTTACCTTCAACAATGTTCAAACTGTATAATATATTACATTGTTAATAATGAAACTTAACTATCACAATATTTGTAATATTGTTTACAGATATAATATCCTCCAATTTTTTATTTTGTTTGTTTTCTGTATATACATTCCAGCAAATAAAATAAATAAAGTCAATTCATTTTTTGTTTCAAAATTGCAACTTGCAGTACATCAACATAGATATGTGCAAGAAAAGCTTGAATGGGGTTTTAAGAGAAGGTAGAGTTCTGGGGAGAGGTGAAAAAACAATTTTTTTTTTGAGCATTCTCATTGTTATTATGCAGTGTGGAAGAACATCAGAGATAAATGTTCCCCGAAAAGCATGGCTCTTCAAATGCCTTCATATTCTAATTATGACATGTAACAGCTTAAAAATATGGGACTCATTTTTATGCCACATGTTTGTGTAGTCCCAAATACGTCTTTCTGTGTACAGTGCTTGTTACTTTTATCAAGACTGGCCAAATTTCTAATCATTTTGATGATACCAGAATCTTGCCGTACACACCGAAAGTTATAAGCTAGTACATGATCAACTTTTTCTGATCGATTCCACACCGTTTCGTTCACAATCCAGAACTCAACTTTATCTTTAACCATTGTTCATTTGAAATAGTTCATCGCAATAGGCAACTTAATATCAATCGTAGTGGAATTTAAAACAGTCATATTTTGATGATAATCTGTCAGTACAAAAGCATCAGCTTTTACCGAACCTGCAGATGAAAAAGCGGTTCGAGAGGGGGCCCAAAAAGTTCTTCAAGTCTAGGCCTCCACCCCGAAATTCTTGATCATAAATAAATTTAAGGGAGGCAACAAATGTAGAAAATTAAAGCTAGAACCCCAAGCCCATCCCCCCAACCAAAAAAAGTTCTAGAACCATGCCTGATGCAGATCTAAAAATTGGTGTATCATCATAACGATGTAGGCCTAGAGGTTCTTTCGCACAAAGAAGAGCACTATCTCTTGATCTAACAAATCTTGATAATAAGCCTCATGGTTACATGTCGTTTTCTGTAAAGGTTGTTATTCCGAAGGTTCACAGTTCCGAAGGTTGATGTTTACGAAAATGAAAAAGAGTTCGTTATTCAGAAAACGAAATGGGGTTCGAAATTCCAAAAATGAAATAGGGCTCTTTTTCCTGAAATGAAGAAGAATTCATAATCCCCACATGAAAAATGATTCATAATTACAAACTTCAGGGTTCGTAATTCCGAAAATGAAATTCCATTTTCAGAATTATGAAACTTCGGCATAAGTAACCTTCGTACAAATGAACCTTGGAATAACCTTGAGTATCCCCACCCTTATACATCTCGTATTCATTTCATATGACTTTCCAGCTTTGGACGAATGCAGAAAAAAGATTGACACTTGCGACCAGAATGCAAACTGCACAGACCAAGGAGAGGGTGGATACATCTGTGAGTGCCGTGAAGGATTTGATGATGTCGGAATTCCCAATTCATTGCCAGGCCGAGAATGCATGAAGCGTGAGTATTTGGGAATAATAATACTTATAGTAATAATGATAATACCACTACTACTACTAATCATGATAACAACTATAATATCAATAATAATGATAATTATAATTTTGTTAACAATATGAGTTTTTTTTAAACCCACTGTGCCCTCATCTTTAGTAATACTGTTCTTCCTGAGGGCCCATTCCCCCAGCTTTAGCCGAACTACCATGAAAAGGCGCACAAGCATTCAAAGAACTTCTCCCTACGGATACCCATTTACTACCCCTGGGTGGATAGTGACATGTGTAGATTTATATATTGCCAAAGAACATACATGTTGGTGGCGGAGCGGGACATAATATTGTTGGGAAAGTCCTAAGTATATTTGTCCCGTACATCACACCGTCCAAGAAAAAGGAGCCCTACTGTAGCTTATATCTCATTTTCGATAGTAATCTTGTTTAATATTTCATGATACATGTCGACTTTATAACTGAAGCACAACAAGAACCACGAGTCGTTTGTAAACTTTAGGGTCTTTTACTTCATCATCTTCTTATTATTAGTATTATTATTATTCTCTTCTTCTTCTTCTTCTCCTCCTCCTCCTTCTTCTTCTTCTTCTTCTTCTTCTTCTTCTTCTTCTTCTTCTTCTTTTTTCTTCTTCTTCTTCTTCTTCTTCTTCTCCTCCTCTTCCCCTTCACCTCCTCCCCCTTCTTCTTCTTCTTAGTAGTATCAGTATGCTCATATTTAGTAGCCATGGTAGTGTAGTATTTAAGGACGTGGCATCATATATATTACATTTTTAAACAATATACTTTTCTTCCATGATTGATAGTCATAGACTTGCAATATACTATTCGAATGTATTTTTTGTTTAAGGTGTAACGACCGAGGCCCTACCCACTGATCCCCGAACTACTAAGGAGCCAGAGGAAACAGGCTTAGGTTTGTATCCTAATTATTTTCATCTTTTAAGAAGAAAAATGGTTAAATTCCTAATTTAACAAAAATAATAACAATATCGTGCCTAAGCAAAGGCGGTGACCCAAGGTTTGTATTAATAAAGGGGACCCCACAGAAATTATGGAAAGCAAACAAAAAAATAAAGTGGAGGGGGTGGGGGGGGGGGGGGGGGAAATAGTGCGATTTCTTAAACCTCACTGAAAAAAGAGGGAATCTAATTCCTGGGGGGAAAATGATCAAAAGGGGGTTGCGGACCCTTATGACACTCCGGGTCCGCCCATTCTGTACGTTTTATCACTTTTCAACAAACATGGAGCAATAAAGGTGGCGTTGGGAAGATACGTAGAATAACCATATTTAACTGGGACAAATTATTTTTCTCAACTATGAAATTGGTTTACATGTTTCCACATATTTAAAACCCCTCAGAGAAAGTGGGGACGGAGACAGAGAGACACAGAGAGGGAGAGAGAGAGAGAGAGTGGGAGAGAGAGAGAGAGGGGGGAATATAGATGAGGTAGTGACACTTCGTATGCTGAGGGTGTGGGGGTGATGAGATACAGACAGGGAAGGAGAGTGAACAAGAGGTAGATTGGGAGAGAGAGAGAAAAAAATATAGAGAGAGAGAGGGTGGGAGTGTGTGCGGTGTGTGCGTGTGTGTGTGTGTGTGTGTGTGTGTGAAAATGCGTGTGCGTACAGAGAGACAGAGAGAAGGGGAGATGGGAATGAGATGGTAAGGGGGTTAGATGTGGAGTAAGTGTGTATGGTATTTGTGAGTGTTTGTATGTGTGTGTGTGTGTGTGGGATAGAGAGAGAGACAAGAGAGAGAGAGAGAGAGAGAGAGAGAGAGAGAGAGAGAGAGAGAGAGAGGGAAAAAGAGAGAGAGAGAAAGAGAAAGAGCAGAAAAATAGAGAGAATGAGAATAAAATTACTCCTATTTGATATCCCCCTTTAGAGCCTTGGAAGGTGGTGGTTGGTGTAACGGTGCCCATCATAAGTATTCTTACAATCACCATCGTGGGGTTGACGTGTTGGCAGTACCGACGTCAAAACCGGACGTCACCGAAGTCGGCGCCGACCAAGATGAGGACGTTTCCGTATGACGACGACACAAGAGGTTCGTCGGATCGTCGAACCAGCAGACCTGATAGCATGATGATCATGAATAACGATGGCACGGTGCAGGAGGTAAGGAACAATTATTCTCGAAAACTTATCATAACCCTTTCAAGCCAGGAAGTTTTAAGGTCAAATTGATCACGTGTCGTTTTTCAAATTGACAGGAGATATCCAAGTGTATAGATTCCTCTGTGGGTATCCTTGTTAAATAGGACGGAAATATTATGAAGTTATCAGTTTTCAACAAGAACTCAAAATGTCCTAGATAAGGAAAATTGTTCTTTTTTTCTTCTGTTTTATGAATTAGTGCCGATGTGTTCTGTTCTTTTATCTGGGTGAGGGAGGGGGGAGGGGTTGTGTTGACTGATCCTCTTTGAATCAAGGCACAAGTAGCTCATTCATGGTACATTAATATTTATCATACCATCATAATTTTCCCCTCGTAGGTGGTTCTACCTTGGCGCAATATCCCTGCAGAGGAAGAGTTCATCTTCGCGCCGGACAACGGCAAGGGACGCATGCAAATGCTCCCCATGGTCGACTACCCCAGCGACTACGACGGGTCGACATCGTACGGCAACGACCCGCTTGGAAACATCGTCGGTTCATATGACAACTATACCTACCAACATCAAGATATGACAAATTCCACTGAAATAGATTCCAAATACTTTTGAACGCTTTGTTATATCATTCAGTGACGGCATTTTGTGACAGCATACCAATATGTTTTTAGATGCAAATGTTTAATTTGTTTACAGTACGATTTCTCAGTACAATTTTAGTTACATGATAAAATTCGTAGTCCTCCCGGATGAAAGCTCAGATATATATATCTGTCCGGTTTTAGAAGTAGTAAGACGTCATCGATAAAGTGGGAGGCATGTCATCCATTAATTATATGCACAGTCTATTCCACCTCCTGCGTGTCGATTCCTGGATACGCAACTAAATTCATGTTGGGAAATATTTAAAAATATTATTATGTGTATATATTGTTTTATCATCATGAAATTATATAATATTTTGAAGAAAAAAAAAAGTTTGCCTTGAAAAAATAGAAAATTAGGTCTCATTGGCGTTCTTACTCGTAACACAAGCTGTAAACCGCGATGTTTTTTTTTTCTCTATCAGTTGTGTATATTATAACCGAGAACTAAGTGCATTATTACGTAGGACCTTTGCTGCGCGTTTAAGGCCTTTCATTTACACGTTAAAGAAAAAAGAAAGAAAAAAAAAAGAAAGAAGAAGACCGCGTCATATCCGAAAGAGCCTTAATGATGGTGGGGGTTGTAAGTCATTCTACCCCCCCCCCCCGCCCACCCTAACGCTCGGAACAATATTCCCGCATATTTTACGCTCTGTCCTCCAGTCTGTCAAAGCCCAATAGCATGGTTAGAGTAAATGTTCTTGAATAGGCCAGTAAAGTTGAAGGATATCTCAACTGACAATAATCAGTCTTGACCACAAAAAGGGGCCATTTGTGTTCTAAGTCTGGACTAACGTGCACAAAGTCACAGAGACCCCACTGTTATCGTTTTCATAATTCTTGTTTATCATTGTTATTCTGCATGCTGCAGCCGCAACAATACTATTTTCTTATTAAAATCAAATGCAGAAAAGTGGAAAACTACTCTTGTAGAAGTAATATAGGGATCACTTCGGTTTGGAGTTCAATCCACTCCTAATTATAATTATTGTTTTGAGAGTGGAGATTAATATGATCCCTCAAAACGACTCCCAAAAGAATGGATTTCCATTCATGTATATTAACAGAGTACTGTCATCTTTGTGATAGTAGTTTTGTCTATACTTACCATGTATTAATCAAAGTGCACAAAGTCACACAGACCCCACTGTTATCGTTTTCATAATTCTTGTTTATCATTGTTATTCTGCATGCTGCAGCCGCAACAATACAAACAATGCTTTTCAGAGTTTCTCTGTTGTGGTAATTATGATATTTTGTCATTAAAATCAAATGCAGAAAAGTGGAAAACTACTCTTTTAGGAGTCATAATAATTATATATGGATCACTTAGTCGGTTTGGAGTTCAATCCACTCTTAATATTTTTTTGAGAGTGGATTCCGTTATCGAGATTGCGGATTTTAATTCCAGATCAATGTGATCCCTCAAAAAGACTCCAAAAAGAATGGATTTTTAATTCCTGTATATTAACGGAGTACTGTCATCTTTGTGATAGTAGTTTTTTCTATACTTACCATATACATTGTATTAATCTATCATGTTTCTCACTCATTGACATTTTGGTATAGCGCGTACATAATTTAAGAGATATTGTTTTTTTAAAACTATATCAGCTTTTAATTACTAAATATTTGCACGAAAACAAAATAAAAAATAACAACAACTAATCAATAACAACACTTGTTACATCTTTATATAAAGGGTATACTCTTTCATATCAGCCCCGTTCAATTATTGATTCAAAGACAGATGATTCTGGCATTGTTAAATTACTGAATTTCTTCCAGCCTCACACCTGCATACATATCTTCTTCTTTTTTTTAAAACAGTGCCTTGTTTTTTAATCGTGGATAGAACACGATCGCAATGACTTTCGATAAATCAACCCATGGACAATTTCTGATCCCAAAGAAACACTGTTTTGGAATACGTAATCTCAATGAATTTCAATATGTGATGGAAGAGGGTATTGGAATTTCATTGGGTTTATTTTTCGAATGTCTTTGCAACTATATCATATTAACTAATTTTTTTTGTAAAATATATTTTAAAAGAGATAATAGTTGAAGTATATATAAAGCCGGTGTGACCGTGGACTCTTGTAATGAATTATTTTAGTACACCAAAAACAACGTTGTTTACATGTTATCAATGTATCATACATTATTTTGTAGGCAAGGGCATTTCGTTTCTCAAACTTTTGTGTGAATTGATTGATAATAATTGATTCAGGATTGTTTTTTTAATTTATTGTATACTTGTCTGAAAGAAAAAAAGATGGATTTATGAAATATACATGTTTGTTTATTTTTAATTAATAACGAGTTATAATTTTACGCCTTTTCGAAAAACAACGCTGGATACACTTTATTTTTTATTCATATTCATATTATCACTATCATTATTATTACTTATACCGCGCTTTTCCCACAAAGCCCAAAGCGCTTACTGTAAATGACAATTACATACATACATGTAATAAGAAAAACAATCTTACATCTACAAAAATTAAATACAAGCTAAATACAATAAGAAAAACAATCTTACAACTACAATCTGCAAAAATAGAGTGTTTTTAATGCCTTTCGGAAGGTAATAACTGATATAGACTGTTTAATTCTAAGTGGTAGATCATTACAGTATTTTTAAGCAGATACAGTAATATAATTGTCCTATCACCGACTAATGTGCGAGTAATTGACTACATGAGACTGATTAGTAGCATTATTACGTTTAATGTTGTATGTTGTATCCTGCTTGTACTGAATAAGGACTCTAAATCAAAGAATAAACAAAAATTAAACCGAACAACTATTTGGAAATTCAATTATTTTTATCGTGCATACGGTAAACGTTGGAATTGTGTTGGAGTGTATAAGTAGTTTATGGTAAAATTATCTTGAAAACGATTGCAAAGACTCATGAATATTTGATGAGGTAATTTTGACTCTACAGTCTGTAATCGCAAAAGTTTTTTTTGGAATAATAGCCAGGCAATGGAATTTCAAATTGTGATACATATTGGTAATAACCAATCCCCCCCCCCCCCCCAAAAAAAAAAAACATTTAAGGGTTTATCTTACCATGTTTGAAAATATTGTGCATGTGACTTATTACGTAATCCGAACATGATGAATTTGCCCAAGAGTTGATTTTTTTTGGAAGTCTTTGCGATCGATTTTTTTTTGGTGGTAATATTGAAGCAAACGAAACAGAAAAAAAAATCATAGAATATAATTAAAAAAAACGCTAATATACATTCAGATTTATTAAAAGAACCACAATAATACAGAATTTATTAGTTTTTTTAAATAAATGTTTGATGATTTAAAGCGATATTTTGTATCACAGTTATAAATTTGACATGGATCTCACCAAGGATCGAGGCGGTACGTCAAATCAATTTGTGTTAGTGGTATATACCCTTACTCGAGATTGCCAACTGAATTGAAGTTTGCTCATATTAGAGTATAATAAGATTACAAAAATGAGGAGATAATGAGCAAGAAAGAAAGAAAGATAGATATAAGGAGAGAGAGAGAGAGACAGAGACAGACAGACAGAGAGGGAGGGAGAGAGAGAGATAGAGAGAGAGAGAGAGGCAAAGAGGGCCTAGATGGTGTGAGAGCTAGGGGCGACAGTTGACATCTAGAATCGAAAGAGACAGATAGAGAGAGAGAGAGAGCGGAGGGGGGGGGGCACAAATTAGAGACCATACAAACAGCTAGAAAGAGAAGAGAAGAGTAGATGAGAGATAGAGATCTCGAAGGCCCGGGGGAGGTAGAGAGAGAGAGAGAAAGACCCGGGGAGAAAGAGAGAGAGAGAGAGAGAGAGAGAGAGAGGGGGGGGGGGGGGTAGAGAGAGAGAGATATACATGATTCTTAAAGGTATACAAAGACCAGTTATGGTCATGCGATTGCATTGTGAAAGAAACGTTGTGGAATCGATCAGAAAAGGTTGATCATCTAGCATCTAGCATCTGCAAGGTTCTGGAATCATCAAAATGATAAGAAATTTGGCCCATTCTTCGTAAAGTTACAAGCACTATACACAGAAAGATGTATATGGGACTACCCTATATCTCTCACAGGACCATGAGAGAAACAAATTTACCAAATATATGAATTAGTAGGCGGTTTCCCGGCAAATTTTTTATCATCATGTATTAGTCAAAACATATTCTTTCACATGATTGGTAATGAGAGCTTCCATTTCATTTTTTGAAATTGGGGCGTTACCAATACTCTTTACCTTCAACATGATTTTCTTAAATTAGCTCTTGAAAGGGATTGATTAAATAATTAACCTTTTAGAATGGTAATGAAATCTACTGATTCAGAAATGGGGAAGAAAATAAAGAACTCTTTTTTCTATTTTTCCTTCATAATTTTATAGGGGAAAGTGGGGCATAATGGAACACTTAATTTCAAACTTGCAATATGACGTCATCAACGACACAAAAACAGTAAAAATAACAGTTTCAGATAGATGTTGTATGCACTTTATTATGTCAACGAAAAACCGACAAAAACCACGGTAAAATTGCAGAGAAACTCGAAACGAATTTTACAAAAGAAAAATCCAACTTGCCCCATCCCTGAGGCATAATGGCACTCCCCCCTGGGGCAAAATGGATCTACGGATCCGTATTGCCCCCATCAGAACTCTAACGTTCTATATTGAGTAATGTACCTAAAGTAACTTTAAGCAAACTTGGTGGGCAGAGCTGCATAATGAATGCCTATAGTAGTTTCAAACATTTATGGGGCAAAACTGGAAAGGTAATCGTAATAAAGCCTGGATTAAAAGTAGAAAATGTAGACTTGTAGAATGTGCACTACACTCTCAATTTCTTAGACTGGAATCTGGGTCAAATTTTCGTTCTGATACAACCACTAGTCACGTAAACCAACTGCTAGGCACATACTTTGAATTCAGCTAACTTATACAGTATCTAAAACTGGCTGGGAAACTAGAACAACCATCGATTTGTTTTATGAACCAACTACTTTCAGAATGGAACATGAAACATTGGTAAACAGGCCCCTATAAAAAGGGCGAAAACAGTATTTTGTTTATGTTTGTGAATTATTTTACAAGACAAAACAAAATTAGTAATGTTGATTTTTATTCCCTTTATGCATTTGTTGTCTCTGTGCTATAATGTCGCCATAATTAAAGCACCTACTGGCTCAACAATGAATGATATTTGGAAATAAAGAGTGGAGAACGTTTAACTTATAAAAATACAACAAGAAAATCCAAATTTAATGATAAAAATACATATTATGCATACACACAAGTGCACACGCACATTCACTCAACCATTCAGTCTTTAGGACCAACAGGGACACCATAACATTGGAGTGGTTTACTTGTTTACATTTTTATTTGAAGCCGTAAACCCTTGCCATATGCTTAATTCCAGCTTTCACAAGATATGTTATTTTCATTTGGGGCAAAACGGAACCCTGTTCCATTTTGTCCCGTACCTATATGGTCCATTTTGCCCCAATGACATATTTTTTAATAAAAGTTTGCGTAGAAAATACCTGAAGCATAGTTGGCATGCAAACAGGCGAGTCTAATGTTGATATCTTTATGATTAATATATACAAATATTTGATTAGAATCGATACCAAAATTACCACATTTCAGCCATATGAACATCCCCTTACTTTAGATCATGAGGCTGTAATTTTTTGGATGGGATCTTACTCCGATGTGCCTCGATGTAACCGGATGAAAATTCAGTGCTAAAATTATTTGGCATCTTCTCTTCTTCAAAGAATTTGCACAGAGGACGACCTTTTTTAACATATGCTAATTTCAAAGTTCCATTTTGCCCCCCGGGTCCGTTATGCCCCACTTTCCCCTAGGGGCTAAAATGGCCGGATATTTGATATCATGTCGTTCACCACCAATTTTTCGCCCATGGCCACGGTAGAACTATTATTTTCATGAATTTTTGAAATATTAGGCAAATAAATGGTAATATATACCGAGCTCATTATGCAACAATTGGTCTCATGATAAAGACTAAACGGAGTGTGCTGCTGGAGTAGAATCTCCGTGTGCATCTACACTACGTGGGTCAGTGGTTGTCGATCCCGATATGTACACGTTGGCATTAGTTGATTGGTTCCGTGCAGTGTCAATCTACTAAAGTTTATGAGTAGAGTTTAAAAATATATTATTAAATCCTCTAACACTAGGAAAAGAACATCAATTATAATTTAAAATCACTAAATTATTATATGAATACTATGTGTGATGTTTTAAAAAATGTATTAAATTTACTTATGAAATCACAGAAACCATCTTCAAATTGTCCATAGATCTAGGTCTATTTGTCTTTTCAGCCTCAATCCAAAATGGCAGTCGTCGTGGCACTTGTTCTCTGCGGGCTTCTAGCCGTCATTAGCAGTGTACAGGGTGGAGGAAAAACCCTAGTTCTCCTAGATTCGATGACTATGCGAGAGTCGCATTCGATGTTTTTCAAATCTCTACAGGGTAAGGATTAAACTCGTTTTATAAAGCTGGATCTAGGTCAAGATTCTCACTTGCCGGTCCCACACATACAAAATTATGTTCGGTATGTTGGGTAGGGTCACTCATATTCATGTCATAACTCGAACTAGCCTTAAGGGCTCTCTCGAAATGTTTTTTTAATGATATTATTCGAGAGAGCCTTAAACGGCTCCCATACCCCTGCACGGAGAGGCATGTAAACAAAACTCAAAAGTGGTCCAAAATCACACTTTCGCGCACCCGACCAATATTGGACAGTGGCTTTGATAAATCTTGTCGTAGTTTTGGTCTTAATTAGCGCTTTAATTTCAAAATCGGATCTAAAAATAACAAAATAAGAGCAATTTTCTTACCAGACCGATACAGCTCAGCTCCCTTTTCACGTGTACCGTGTGAATTCACGATGTCTACACAATGGTGATGACCTCTGACTAGGGTGTCTGAACGATTTTTCAATTTTCAATTTGGGATCGTTTTTCACCATTTTTGTTTAATATTTGAATAAAAAATGTTATCAGAATAATACATTTCAAATTTCAAGTCTCACCGATGTTTCTATCAAAAGTTACAGCCCCTCCAACACGCTGGTATATTCATATCATTTTGGTCAAAATCGACGAAAAAGACGTCCACGCAGAGTGATGTTGTTTTGCTAAATTTAGCCAAACAGCTGTATCGCGCGATATGCAAGCGTATGCATATCGTACGCATGCTGCTAAGCCAATCCGCGACTTGCAGCTTGAGCTACGCTGTCTCCGCGACATGTGCGATTGACTAGTATGGTTGGCGTTCGTCGCACAATAAACCCGGAAGTGAATGCACGTTATAGTCAATGGCAATATCGCGGAGACAACGCACGTTGTCTCCGCGATATTGCCATTGACTATAACGTGTATTCACTTCCGGGTTTATCGAGGGAATTGCCAACCATAATTTCAGTCGCTATAATGTGTAATTGAATTTGGGGTTTCGTTCGTGCGCGGAGATGTTACGCGATGTAACCATGGTTTGGACTGAGCGGAGCGCACGCCTCCTAATTAGCTGATCCACCAAATAGCGAGAAGGGTATTTTTAAACTGTTATCAGTTGTGATCCCTGGGGGCTAGCGAAAATATAATCACATAGAATTGTTCCTTAGGACTGGGACTACTTATCGATCGGGGCGTCATATCTCAAAAGTGACAAACCTCAGAGTTAGCCAGGACACAATGTTTAAATTGCTGTTTTGACCAAGATATTTTTAGAATTTCGGGGGCTACGCCCCTTTGGAAATATTGGAATTCACCTGCTCTTTCATATGACACCTCATTCATTGATTATCACCTTCAGGATCACAACTGATAAAGGTTTGAATCTCGATTTGAAAAAAAAAAATTGACTTTTTTTGCATGGTCGCGCAATGCACGTACATGTAGGCTGCATAGGGATGCGTGTAATCTCTATGGGAAGAATTTTAGCACACAACATCGGGTGCGCAATCAGACACCCTACTCTGACTGGCACTTCCGTAATTGTGGGTAAATTGTGCTGCTTCCGTATAATGCGCTGTATGAGTGTTATTCAGCGCATTATACGGAAGCAGCACATTTACGAAGTGCTAGTCAGAGGTCATCACCATTGTGTAGACATCGTGAATTCACACGGTACACGTGAAAAGGGAGCTGAGCTGTATCGGTCTGGTAAGAAAATTGCTCTTATTTTGTTATTTTTAGATCCGATTTTGAAATTAAAGCGCTAATTAAGACCAAAACTACGACAAAATTTATCAAAGCCACTGTCCAATATTGGTCGGGTGCGCGAAAGTGTGATTTTGGACCACTTTTGAGTTTTGTTTACATGCCTCTCCGTGCAGGGGTATGGGAGCCGTTTAAGGCTCTCTCGAATAATATCATTAAAAAAACATTTCGAGAGAGCCCTTAAGGCTAACTCGAACACAGGGAGCTCCGCCGCGCCGCCGAAGCTAAGGTGTCTGAGCATAGCTCCAGATCCTACATGGGAAAACGATTCAAACAGCGGGCTTGGTCATATTTTTTTCGAAATGTAAAGAAGTAATTAATTAACATTTTAGCTTGGACTCTACTCTAGATAGGGTGTCTGAACGATTTTTCAATTTTCAATTTGGGATCGTTTTTCACCATTTTTGTTTGATATTTGAATAACAAATGTTATCAGAATAATACATTTCAAATTTCAAGTCTCACCGATGTTTCTATCAAAAGTTACAGCCCCTCCAAAACGCTGGTATATTCATATCATTAGGGTGTCTGATCGCGCACTCAGTTTTGTGTGCTAAAATTCTCCCATAGAGATTGCACACATCCCTATGCTGTCCATGTGCATTGCGCGCTCATGCAAAATTGGTCAATGATTTTATGAACAAATTGAAATTCAAACCTTTGGGGCTCGTGATCCCGAAGGTGAAACTCAATAATTGAGGTGTCATATGAAACAGCAGGTTTTTCTCCATGTTCCCCATAGGGGGGCACCCCCAAAATTCTAAAAATATCTTGCTCAAAACAGCGATCTAAACATTGTTTCCATGGTAACTCGGAGATTTACCAATTTCACGAAGTGCTCCCCCGAGGGATAAGTTGGGCCAGCTGTAAAGAATATATCCATGCACTTATTTTTTCTCTAGTCCCAAGGGATCACTAGCCCCAACAGTTTGAAAATACCCTTACTCCACGTTTTGCATATCATGCTGTGCATTAGCTGTGCAGCTTTCGAGCAAAAATTATATCTCAACGTGAACCACTGCAGTTTTTGAGGGGCTGTATCTTTTGATAGAAACATTGGTGAGTCTTGAAATTTGAAAGGTATTATTCTGATTACATTTTTTATTCCAATATCCAACAAAAATGGTGAAAAACGATCCCAAATTGAAAATTGAAAAATCGTTCAGACACCCTAATATCATTTTGGTCAAAATCGATGAAAAAGACGTCCACGCAGAGTGATGTTGTTTTGCTAAATTTAGCCAAACAGCTGTATCGCGCGATATGCAAGCGTATGCATATCGTACGCATGCTGCTAAGCCAATCCGCGACTTGCAGCTTGAGCTACGCTGTCTCCGCGACATGTGCGATTGACTAGTATGGTTGGCGTTCGTCGCACAATAAACCCGGAAGTGAATGCACGTTACAGTCAATGGCAATATCGCGGAGACAACGCACGTTGTCTCCGCGATATTGCCATTGACTATAACGTGTATTCACTTCCGGGTTTATCGAGGGAATTGCCAACCATAATTTCAGTCACTATAATGTGTAATTGAATTTGGGGTTTCGTTCGTGCGCGGAGATGTTACGCGATGTAACCATGGTTTGGACTGAGCGGAGCGCACGCCCCCTAATTAGCTGATCCACCAAATAGCGAGAAGGGTATTTTTAAACTGTTATCAGTTGTGATCCCTGGGGGCTAGCGAAAATATAATCACATAGAATTGTTCCTTAGGACTGGGACTACTTATCGATCGGGGCGTCATATCTCAAAAGTGACAAACCTCAGAGTTAGCCAGGACACAATGTTTAAATTGCTGTTTTGACCAAGATATTTTTAGAATTTCGGGGGCTACGCCCCTTTGGAAATATTGGAATTCACCTGCTCTTTCATATGACACCTCATTCATTGATTATCACCTTCAGGATCACAACTGATAAAGGTTTGAATCTCGATTTGAAAAAAAAAAATTGACTTTTTTTGCATGGTCGCGCAATGCACGTAGGCTGCATAGGGATGCGTGTAATCTCTATGGGAAGAATTTTAGCACACAACATCGGGTGCGCGATCAGACACCCTACTCTAGATCTAGACCCTACAAATTATGTTTTCGACTCTTCTGTTCTGGGCAACACGTAGAAGAATCCCCTATCCAACTCAGTGAACGGAAATACGCGTCGCTGATTGGCTGATCGCGCGACTCTCGCTTGTCTGCTAGCTGCGAGGCATGGGCGATTCACTACACTGTGCGCGGTGTATTGTACCATGTATTGTAGCGGCCGTGTTGCGAGAGCGGGGCCCTGCACTAAACTCGAACACCAAGCAAAAAATGGCGACCAAAGACACATTCAGTGTATGTGGTTTTAACGATGTCGCTCTCTACACACTCGTGTCGCTCACATACAATTTGCACATAGCTTTACAGTTTACACACACTTCAACCTACACATACATATCCTTTACAAAAACTTCCGACGAAATCATCAAAAAATATGACTTACCGAAACAGAACCACCATACGATTTTGCTGAAAGTACCTAGAAATATCGATGACACCGATGGCGAAAAAAATTGTTCAAAAATCGAAGTCGGGATGGAAATATAACGAGTTTGATATCAACGTAATCGAGAAGTCACAGGCAGAAATAATCGCACTCGTAGGTTTAACATTGTGGGAAAATATGCAAATGAAATGAGTAAACACCCAATCAACTACGAGCATCGTGACGCTAGCACTTTTATGAATGAAAAATGATGTCAGTCGGGCTTGAGCGAACAGAAGAGCGCATTGCGCATGCACGAGTTTTGTGTGTAATTCTTCTTCGTGGGCAACGAGTCAACAACTTGTGAAATTATAATTTGAAGATGTCTTTGATGGATAAACAGAATGATTCCTTGCACGTAGAACTTAACATATTGGTTGAGTGCTATACAGTGAGTTTAGGCGCTCTCATTGGTTGATCCGCTGGAGCGGTCAGCATCTTTGAATTTAAGTGATAGAGGGCCCATTTAAGTAGAGAATGCGATGGACAGTCCCGCCAGTACAAAAGATTACACAACACATAACTCGATGGAGCTCTGACGCCGCTATTCAAACAGCGAGTTGGGTCACATTTTTTTTAAATGTAAAGATGTTTTTCGACTCCTCTGGGGATCCGTCCAACCACTTGAAATTATAATTTGAAGAAGTCTTTGATGGATAAAGATGGTGATTCCTCGTCCAAACCCTCTTCAACCATGTATCCCTGATTCAACATGGCTAAGAGAAAGTACGCATGCGCAGTAGTGCGAAGCGAATATGAATATTTATGCTAATTGCTATAGAGCGCTGTTCGCTCGAAATTGCTGAATATGCACGAGGTTGAGGTTTACATTTACCGCTCTTTTTGCCTATTCAGCAATTTCGAGCGAACTTAGCCCTAGCATGAATATTCTTATTTGCTGCGCCAAGTACATGTATACTAATGGCTACTTTTTTTTTCTTTTTTTTTTCTTTCTTTAAAATGTTTTTAATCAATTTTAATGAACATTACATACACAATATTTTGAATCAAATTATATAAGTCATATATTTTTTTTCTAGGTCAATCATGATGTTAGCAGTAATATGTTTTTGTTTTTATTGAAAATAAAACTCAACGACATCGCATGTACAGTAATGACATATCAATAAAGTAAATAGATGTATACCAATGCCTCCTTGAGTGCATTGTACTCGTGCAAAGCACTTTGAAATCGGTCAAGAATGTAACCCAAAATGTGAAATTTGATACTTAACCTTTATATATATCCATATTGTTTTTGTTCTTTATTATTCAGAGAGAGGTTTTGAGCTTACATACAAGAGTGCAGATGATCCTAACCTAAAGCTGAGCAGCTATGGAGAATACCTTTATGAGCATCTGGTGCTCTTCTGTCCATCAGTAGAAGGTAAATTAAACCTCCACTTGTACATGTAGGTGTCGTGGTATAGTGGTTCATTCACTTGACTTCCAGTTCAAGGGTTCAGGGTTTAAATCCAAGCCCAGCATTAACGTACATTGTCACGACGTTGATTTTCCACTCTCCACCAAAGTGTAAATAGGTCACTCGGAATAGACCAGTTCACGGTTAGCCCATGTCGCAAATAAACCTGAATATCCACAGATCTTCCAAACATGAAGAGGTCCACTTTAATATTTTGAAATAATCACTCCTACGGCGATGGAGGAGCTTCATAAATAGCCTTCGTTTCCCCTTTTCAAAGAATACTTCCACCTGTATATCATAGAGTGCACTGCTTGTTCTTAAATGAATAATGATGACATAACTTCATGAGCATGTATCCAGTATTTTGTCTCTGTGAATTTCACAATTCCTTTTGCAATGACTTTATCTGCTCATGCTCAGACTGCAACCGTGAACTGGCTTATTCCTGGAGTAATGATAATTTTGCGGCCCTCAAGAAGAGCAGTATCAATACTGATGTGACTACCCTATGGAAATGAGACCCAGTTTAGTGTCATATTTTTTCTTAATTATGGAACTACTTATATGGGGGTCTATATCTTTCTGTGTATGATGCCTTGTTCATCAAATTTATTTATCATTGGGGACATCCCTCAATTTTTAAAAGAATATCTATCACTTTAAGCAATTTTTTAACAATAAAAAAAAAAAAAAAAAACTTACATGTACTGTATATGTATCTTTTCAGGTTGTACAATTAATATTGGTGAGTGCAATGACTACTGTACTGGCTACATAAGACAAGGAATAGATATTTAAAATCTGTCAGGCACATGTAGTAATTTATCAATTTGATGCATTTCTCTTTTTGTAGAATTTGGCGGAGATATTGGAGAAAATACCTTAACAGATTTTATTGATGAAGGAGGAAACATCCTAGTAGCAGGCAGCTCAGATATAGGTATGTATTTCTTTTTTTAAATAATTTTGTTATAGCGCTTGGGTTGCAGTTAGAGTGTAGCAATCACCAAGTTTTTTTGGTTTTGTGTGTTGGAGGTTCCATTGTGATGTCATAAGTTCCATGTGATGTCATAGGTTCCATGTGATGTCATAATACGATATCCAAAATTGTAAGCTTCAGATAGTACTTCTGTAGATAGATTTCGATTTTAGTTTAGATGCACTCTCAATCAATGTGAAAGTGATTTTTGAGGGGACTCCTTGATGCACCTTTACATGCTCGCATAGAATGGGGCCGCACGAAACCAAGGTCTAACTTGGGTTTTTGCAAGTTTAAATACACTCACAATTGACATGAAAGCAACTTGTGAGAAGACTACCGTCACTACGGAGACGCAATCACGCAATTGCATTTGTCTTGTTTTCTGTTGCTCAAAACAACAATATTGCCATAGTGCATGTGCTCTGGACAGCACACATAAAACATTCACTGAAAGCAAGTAAAACCAAAAAGAGTTCACCTGAAACCATAAAACAGTTTGAAAGCTTGTTTTTTTGATGATTTCTGATATTTCAAATATTGGCAAGTGGCAAAACGCATTAGTGTATTTCAAGGCAAATAATATTGACTGCATAGTGTGAATACTCATTTGACAGTATATGCATAATTTTAGTTGACGTATCATTTGTTTTTTTGTTTTTTTCCCGAGCAACTTCTCACTATAAAATCAAACTCTTCCCCAATTATAATGAATTATTTATTCCAACCCAATGACAGTAATTCTTGTTAGTTTTCATGTTTGGTCTCTTTTCATTAATTTGGGCTTTTTCAAGAGTTTCCATGTAGGGGGCAAATGAAAACGCCTCTCGCCCCACAGTTCTTTAACCAGGGATGCCAGTTTTGAGGCAATAGCCTGAATTTAGGCCCTCTCTGCTTATTTTTATACCATAGTTTAGGCTTTTTTGTGTACAAACTAGCTCATTCTAGGTGATTTTCAGGCCCTCTGATCAATTCTAACTGGCATCCGTGTGTAACTAATGCAACTTACTGTACATTTAACTTTTCAGGAGAACCGCTGAGAGAACTTGGAAGTAATTGTGGACTTGAATTTGATGAGGAAGGAACTTCAGTAATTGATCATCTTAATTATGATGTTAAAGATGAGGGATATGTGAGTATAATGAAACATTTACTATATAAGTTTTTGTAATGTAATAGTAATGATTAACATTTACATATATTGCACATGAAATGACTTAAAAGAAGCAAACAATTAAATTAAAATAATAAACACATATATGAATATGCATAGAAATACATGTACTCTGTTAAATATAAGACAACATTTTAGGATGTAACTATACCTAGATTATAACTACAAAATGTACATTTTAAAGACTGTAGCAAATTATATTTTATCATTATTTTGGGAATCTGTTTTGTGAATATTTTGCAGCACACATTGGTAGTAGCAGATTCAGAAAACTTGATTGAAGCTGAGACCATTGTAGGTGCAAAGACCAACAAGCCTGTTTTATTCAACGGAGTCGGGTATGTAGAGTATCATCAGTATAATTACCTTCCATAGCTTTGCTAATCATTTGATTACCGTATGTAGTTCAGGGCTTTTCCCTTGTTTGAGATACATTGGCCCAAATTCACAAAGGAGGTCGTCGACAAACCTCCTTTGTGAATTCAGGCCATTATGTTTTGGGGCCATGGGAGGGTAATATAATTGTTTGGTCAGTCTGTAGTTGGTCTGGTGTCAGTCTCGATGAGACTGGGGTATAACTTTGCTGATTTGATTTTGTAATTAGGTGCTTAGTCAATGTTTTCAGTGACATGAATTATAAAAAAGGGGCACTTGATGAAGAAGAATTTACTTGTAGAAAATACACCCATTAAACTTATGACTTTAAAAGGCAATCCAACCTTGGTAATAATTCCATGTGCAGGAAAGCATAAAAAATGTTACATAATAGGAAAAGTTTTTAATCAGAACAATGATAAGAAAGTTGTGAGTGTTTTAGATTAGATACTTGATCACTAAATCTATGCAAATCTCAAATTGGCAATTTGTTCAGTGGATTATGACATAGTTAGGTACAACTCTCCTATTTGCCGAGTAAAAAAAATCATTGATTTATGTTTTTCTCCTAAGAGCCTTTTGGCATTACTTAAAATATATTGGGGATACCATAATATTGTCTATTCTCTAAGAAGAAAAGATCCTCCTGAGTCAGACACTTTGACAAATTGCCATTTTATTGTTTTGGAACAAATGAGAAAGTTGTGACATTGACACAGTGACACTGCCGATCCGGGCAAATTAAAATTACAACTTTAACAAATTACTACTTTCTTATTTTTTGTCTGATTTATTTCAAACATTCACCTTCTGTTTCTCTAATAATTTGTGCTGCTTTCTTTTAGAGTATAGTTTTCTATTTAGGTTGGATTTCCCCTGAAGGTTATCTGGGAGAGACCAAGTTATTTAGGATTATTTGCCTTCTTCTGGGATGCTATTTCAATCCAATCCAGTCCAATCCAAATGTATCTGATAAAGCACCTTTTCCTTGCAGTTACAAAGCGCTTTGTACATTGATTCACATGTTTGGGCCACTTAAAACAATATCATAACATTTAATCAATTAAAAAAGGTGGGTCAATCAATCCATTGTCCTCTTATAAAATACATGGGACATCAGGGGGGCGTTTCACAAAGCCTTTTGTCAGTGACAAATGACAAAAATCAGTGACAAATCTGCTGACAACCAATCAGAAGCAAGGATTTCAGTAGCTATAACAGAATCTGCCATTTGTCACTGATGACAAGTTTTGTGAAACGCACCCCAGAAGTAGATTAAACTGGTCAACAGATGAAGCTGTCTTTACAATAGCAGGTAGCTGGTTTAACAATATTGCTGCTACTGGTGGAAATTGAGATCAAAGTTTGCAACAAATAAAATTCTAAGAATGATTGTCTTTGCAGCCTGATTGCCGACCCAGACAACCCCCTCATCATTGACGTCCTCCATGCCTCGTCGTCCGCCTACTCCCACAACCCCAAGGAGGCCGTGGAGGATTACCCCTTGGTCGTGGGCACCAACACCCTGCTGGTAGCCGCCCTCCAGGCCAGGAACAACGCCAGAGTGGTCTTCAGTGGCTCTGTGGACCTCTTCAGCGATGCTTTCTTCCAGTCAGCGGTCCAGAAGGCATCGGGAGCCAGCAAGAAGTAAGTTGCAGGGATAATAATATAATATTCCTATTTTATATAGCGCTTAAAGCCCCCCTGTCCTGCTTGTAGCTACTTGCTCCCTCTATATAGAAAACGTCCCCAATCGGTGCCTGTTGATCCCCCATGATCCTCCTTTTCTTATGTTAGTTGAGAGCCGAGTTAATGAGATAGCCACCTGTCAGTGACCTCATTGTGTGGTCTAATCCCTTCTGGCCCAGTAGTATTGACGGTCTTTAAATGTCTCTAAGTGCTTTACAGATATACTATTACCCAGTTTTGTTATTGATCAACGACATAGAGAAATGAAGTTTAAAATAAATGATGTTTGAAACATTCAAAGAGGTATTAAGAATAAAAAATAGTAATTTTTAAATGCATTTATATTGCGTTATACAAGGATGTTTATAATGAAAACGTCTTGATAAAGACACTTTATAAAGACGTTAGATACATAACAAATTTGTGACCTTACTATGACGGTGGCGATTTAAAGCATGAAATTTTTTCGCATCATCTTATGCCAACTCATGGATTTAGAGTATTCATCACAATTCACCCACTTTTACTATGAAAGCTCTGATGTTAAATCCGATTCCTTTGATGATCCAGGTACCCCGAGTCTGGCAACCAGGCCCTCGCGTTGGCCATCTCCCAATGGGTCTTCAAGGAACACGGTGTCATCAGGGTTAGTCACGTCACCCATCACAAGGCTGGAGAGACATCTCCACCAGCATCCTACACCATTGAGGACAAAGTGGTAAGTAACAGTTCCAGTACCAGAGATGTCATAGGGTGGGGGTCTAGGGTCTAGCGAGTAAGTCACCTGTCTAAGAAAGACATGGTACAGTAAAAGATCTATGTATTTCTACTTTTTTCCAATGGATATATTAAGTTCTGTGACAATTCCAGGGGTTATGTGAGAGATCAGATGAACCAGGTACCCTATAAATTCATCATTTGAGATATTGGACGCCCCCCCCCAAAAAAAAAAAAAAAAAAACAAAAACAAAAACAAAAACAAAAACAAAAAAAACAATTGTCTATATTTCTAATGGGGGGGAGGGGGCTGCATATTTACAATCTATTCTCCAACATGTTTGTTTCTTTTAGTCTTTTTCTTTATACTTGATTTGATAAATATCTAATCAAAAGTTGTCTTTACATGTGTATATATTATATATGAAATGTGCTCTGTCGTGGTCAGTCTGAAATATTCCTCCATCCATTTCTCTTATAGGAGTACAACATTTGGCTTGACATTCTGGTCGATGGTGAGTGGCGTCCTTTCTCCGCTAATGATGTCCAGCTTGAGTTCGTCCGTATCGATCCTTTCGTCCGAACCACCCTCAAAAGCAGCAGTAAGTTATTCCGATGCTAGAAATGAAATTTTACTTTCATGTAGAGTGAATTGGACTGACTCGAGTCATAGACGGTTGTTTACTCGGCAAGTTTTGATCAATTAAGCCATTGCCTAGGGGAAATGGCTCGTCCCTGTATTAAACCTATAGAAATGAGATAATTCAGCAGTCTAGAGGTTAACTAAAATCCCACTAGATGAAACAAAAAATTGCCACTTTCGATTTACATCTTGTAAAGATGAAAGATAGTTTGTGAGCTTTCTCATTTTCAAGTGTGGAACAATGTCATAGAAGAACTGTTCTGAAAAGGATTGCCATGCCAATGCTGTCATATTCAATTTATATGACAAGATATAGCTGGAAAGTTCGGACCAGACTCTCATGTCGCATGTGTGTGTGTAGTCCCATAACCACATCTCTGTGTGCAGTGCTTGTGACTTTCAACAAGTTTGAGTCAATTTCTTTTTATTTATATGATTCCAAAACCTGAAAGTACACTCTGATCATTTTGTACCACATAATCAACCTTTCCCAATGGCTTCAGACAGTTTCATTCACAATGTAATCTCGTGACCAGAGGTCGGGTTCATCTTTAACAATTTAAAATGCAGGTACATGTATTTTCAATATATTGCCCATTGCAAGAATTGAAGAATGTCAAATTTATTTCGATCATGCTTTATGAATTTAGTAAAATGTTGTACCTAGAATCACAAATTAATGAATTCAGTTTATTTTTTGTTTCTTTACAGAGGGCCGTTTCTCCACAATCTTCAAGCTACCTGATGTGTATGGTGTGTTCCAATTCAAAGTGGACTACAATCGCATTGGCTTCACTCATCTTTTCAGTACCACACAGGTATGTATTCAAATCTGTATTGATATAGCACTTCGCATCAATATAAAATGCTTTACAAATATTATGAACGATCATGGGCCTAATGTATACACACATTTCCTACACCATCTGCATTCTATAGGTGTATCCCCTACTCCTGTTGGATCACCTGGGGGGTGTTTCACAAAGATCCTTAGTTGAACTTATCTCTAAGTTGGACTTAACAATTATGGAAAACCATTAGCATCTTTGAAAATATTGTGTAAAATAATTTTAAAAGGCATAAAATGTTGATTCAAATCATTCTTATTTCCTATTATCATGGGAAATTTCATGTTCTTGATGTGAAATTTATGAAAAGTTTAAAATACATGAATTTTTGCTTTTGAATATATCTCAAAATAAGACTACAAATTGCTCTCCATAATATTTAAGCCCATCTTAGAGTTAAGTTCAACTTCAAATCTTTGTGAAACACCCCCCTATAGCGATATGTGCGCTATATAAGAAGCCACAATTAATATTTCTTTATTATTATTATTTATATGCACTGCTTTTCAGAGCACATTGTAAACATTTTGTTCTTGCTTTGTTTCACCAGGTGTCTGTCCGTCCTTTTGAGCACACCCAGTTTGAGCGCTTCATCCCGTCTGCGTTCCCTTACTACGCCAGTGCCTTCTCCATGATGTTTGGTGTCTTTGTCTTCAGTCTCGTCTTTTTACATCATCGTGACAGTGACAAGAGCAAAAGGGAATAAAATCCCCTCTTCTCTTCCACTTCTTTTTCCTCCTTTAGATAAAATCATTCCTTTTCCCTTTCCTCCATGCACTCAGAGTTGGCATAATTGCTTGTTAACTGCGATGGAATAAGAATTCAGTGAGTATCAAGTCTGCAGATTGTAAACCATCTTGATACTTTGTAGTTGATAAGTGACTATGCCAACTCTGTATGCAGTAATTATTCGGTATAGTTCTTTATAAAAAAAATTATAGTTAGATTCATTGCATAGTGCGGTTATGCCATGAATTATAAGATATTTCATTCTAACACCACTTTAGCAATTTTAAAAGGAAGACAAAATATTAAGATACACAATGTAGAGGCAATGTTTTTAGTACCCTACCTGTTTTTCATTGAGGGGTTATTTTGGGGAATTTTCAAATTTGAAATACATTGTAAATGTTGTTGCGAATTTGTTGTGCAAGACTAAGGTTGATGATTTTCTTTCTGTGTTGAAAATGCAGTAGAGGAGTACATCTGGAACGTCTTTCAACAGGAATGTAGGAAGGTGATCAACGTTATTTTGTGTAAAATGTAATTACTATGGCAAGACTTGAGGTTAATTTTGTTTTCGTCGACATACTATGCCTATTTTCATTCAATCTTGATCAGTGGAACTGCTCATTTTCTTCTGATTTTATTAAAAGCCTAAAACGTTGAGTACTTGGTATCCAACCATTTTGGATTGGATTAAGATGAGTTGCATGTAATTTTTACAATGATTGATAACAAAATTAATAAAATAACTTCTCAACACTGCTGCCACTTAAGGGTGAGTTTATTTAGCAATGAGTCTTGTAAACTTTCACATCTCAATATCTAAACTATTTTGTAGAATATTTAGCTTTCAGTAGATTTTAGATTGGGCTGTGTCGGGTACAAGTGTATCATGGGAAGCATCTACTTTTACGATGGAAAAAAGAGTCTGTTTTTAGCACAAACTTTAGAGTTGCTATAGCATAGGACTAATTTTTAGTGAAACATTCAGAACTTCTGCAATACAAGCTGTCAAAATACTTTGAAGAGCAGAAGAACTTAATATTGAGCCAGTATTTTGCTCCATTTCTATCTTTTAGCTGTTGAAGTGTTTTAACTTTTTGATTACAGTGTATAGCTGGAATTCTCATGTGAAGCTTCTAGCAAGTGAAAACATTTTCACATGGGCTTTTTGTATCAGATTGTCTACTGCAATAAATAAAGATGCAATTTGCATCTCGTTGTGGTATAGAATTTTGTATAAAACCTATGTTTTTACATGAATAGCAACTAGTATCAACATAAATGAATGAATTATTATGAATGCATCATGTTGAGAGAAAAATAGTGTAGAAATATCGGAGTTTTCTAGTCTACATTTATGCAGATGAATTTTGCTATCTAGTGAACTATAGCTGTGGTAAAAGTATGTGGCTTCCCATTTCTGTTTGTACAATCTTATGTAGGGTATATATAGAGTACAATGTACATTCAATTTAGCAAGGTCATCATCTAGTTATCATTGAGAATTTTTTGGAATATATTGATTTGTAACACGGTTGAATAAACATAAGGCATTCAATTTGTTTGCCTTGATGGACAAGTGAGTTGTCCACAAGAATGTTGGAGTGTATTTTGAAGTGCTTCATGTCTGCACAAAAGAAAGTTGACTTATATAAACTTTTAAAGGACCCAGTATACTATCGGTATAGAGAGAATGTTCAGTTTTGATTGTTAGAGAGAGGGAGAAAGGGAGAGAGATAGAAAGAGTGGGGGAGAGAAAGAGACAGAGATATAGATGCAGGGGCAAGTTGATTATAAACAAAACTTTCCACATTCCCTTTTCCGTTCTCCATATATTTCTATGCTCAATTTCTCTTTTTCAATATTCAAGGAGGGGGGGGGGGGGGGGAGGGGAGACCTTTACCTAGCTCCTATATGTGCACACAATATTGTTCACACACAGAACAATTTAATAAACATCAAAGTACGCCCTACTTTTTAAATGCTGATACTTGTAGATAGGAGCCTATACACTTCATATAGAACAATACTCGATGGCATATCCTGGAATCGATATAGAGAGGGTGGGGTGGTGGTTTATTTATATCCTTTTCACGCCCTTTCTCCTTTTTTCCTTTTCTTTCTATGCCCTTTTTCGATATTCAATGGGGGGGGGGGGGGACTTTTCTTTTCGCGCTCTCTTCCCCCTCACCGTTTTGCAATGATCCTGCCCTCTTTTTTGACATGCTAAAAGAGGAGGGGGAGGGGTAATCCACCCCACCCCCCCCCCCCCCCCCTCCTGCAGCAACGAGACTGATTATCCTATTTGTTTGGATTTTAATCAATAACATTTGAATTGAATTGAATTGATTTAATTTAATTTAATTTTATGGGTGTTTTATTTCAGGAGAAGTTCTAAGGCGAATTTGTTGTGACTATATTAAAACAAAAATAGATAATGTGAAGTGAAGTAGTGTAAGAGGCATGATAGATTTGCGATGGCAGTAATAGCTTAATGGATAAAACGTGGTCAGTTAAACTACAATATGAAGAGTTAACACGTTGTGGTTATGCAAATCTATCATTATGCCATAGGCCCTTTCCGTGTTGCTGATAAACCAGGCAACCACATTATGACTAGATTAGTTTACTCCAGATTTCAATTGCCTTTGTTTGTTGCAGGAAATGGAAGCCAAAAATACCCCGTGAACTAGGAAAACCTGATGATAGTTGATTTACATGACTGCTAAGAAAGCATGCATATGCTTAAAGAGCTTGTAAACAACCAGGGGGATCGATCGACAGTTTGAGTCCTGTCCGGGGGTGGGGGGGGGGGGGGGGGGGGGCTTCTTTTCTTTCTAATTTTCCTTTAATACATTGTTCTTTATTTTCTCCCGTCTTCGTCACCCGTTGTGTGCGGGTGTGTATTTGTGTAAGTGGGGGTGGGGGTCAAGGGCTAAGTGATTATAAGCCATTTCCAGCTCGAAAACTGTTCAGGGAATGGACAACTGCCCTAGTGGCGGATTCCCCTGGGGGAAAAAAAACGTCTAAAAACACGTGCATTTTACCTTCTTCTTTTAGATGGGCCCCCTCCCCTGGCGCTCAAGGGGGGGGGGGGCGATTTTTCAAATTTTCGAGGCCCCCCCCCCCCCCATAAAAATTAGTGCTCACTACCCCCCCCCCCCCCCCACATCTATCTACATTAAGTATGTATATATCTATCTATTCATTTACCGATTCATTTATTTAGATGGTTGTCCATTTACTCATTTCTTTATTAAATGATACTTACTTATTTACATGTGTTTATTTAATTGTTTACGAAAGCTGATCAGCAACAAGTAGATAGTAGAAGAAAATCATTGAAATACAGAATTTAAATTGCTATATCTCCCTCACATCCCCCAAGGAAAAAAATAGAAGAGGAAAACTTGAATGAGTAGATAGGCATATAATCCAAATAGTGTGCTACATCTTATTTCACAGTTCCATGTCTTGTGAAATGATCTATGAAATCAACTGGACAGGATGGATGTGGGTTGTATGGTGATCGTACTCGATCGTTGCTTTTGCTTGATTTCCATGAATTTTATTTCATGCCAACATCGAGATTGGAGAAATCGTTCCAGTTTTCATCATGGAAACATTGATTCGATTATCAACGGATGAGGTGGCATTTAGGTTTAGAGTGGAAAAAGAAGCATGCATAAACGGGGGACCAATAAATTGTGTGTAATGAACACAGAACTGATGAACTATACATGTATAGCGCCGACTAATGCAAAATATAGCCTACAAATACGCCGGTCAAGCCAGGAAATCACTTTGTTGTAATTTTTCCAATCCTCTAGTCATGAACCCCTCCCCCTACGCCCTCCCCCTTTTCTTCCTGCCCGCTTTCTTTCTCTCTCTCTCCCTCTCTCTCTCTCTCTCTCTCTCGCTCTCTCTCTCTCTCCCTCTCTCTATCTCTCTCTCTCACTCAATCTTTCTTTCTTTCTTCTAGCTTTCTCTTTGCTCTCTATAACAGTTTAAGATATTGTTATTCAACCACTTTCATATATTAATTTCGTCAATTTTAGTTATGATATGGCCCTTACCCCCCCCCCTCTCTCTCTCTCTCTCTCTCTCCCACCCTCTCTCTCCCCCTCTCTCTCTCTATCTGTGCCTCTCTCTCTTCGGTTTTTATTACCGTATAACTAAAACGTCATCTTTTTCCATTTATCTCGCACTTTAATAACAAAATTGATCGATTATTATAACGATTGCTTTTGTTGTATCTCCTTCTTTATTCATCCCCGAAAACAAATTGTAATTCTTTCCATGCCAGTCCTAATAATGGGACCCTGATGTTGTCAATGAACTGGGTGACGGTGAATCCTATGAAGTCACTTCATGATGTAGACTGATCGCCATCCTCCCTTGGACGACCAAGACCAACGCTCTGGATAGGTGTCGAATAAAAATCGATCTCGTTGAAGCCTGGTCTTGGACCAACGGGACTGGTGATGATGAGTCCAGAGATGTCTAGCCTCATGGACATCGTAAGACCATAATTTTAAGCCCTGCATGAGTAAATATCTCTAAGGCATCTAATTTATTAACTATGCTGCTTCTTTGCATGACTAAACACAAATGTAGAGTACGTGCTTCCCTAGAAAATGAAATGCTCTGAATTATAAATATCACTCGATGCTCTAATATGCATGTTTAACTTGTTCATTTGCATGGTACCAGGTAGTTGTTCTGCTCTTTTGAAAGCGTTGTTCTTTTACAATTCTTGTCAATAATATCAGTCTTTATCATAGTAATCACGCATGCCTACATAGTGAAATATCATATTTCAAAGACCTCGTATCTTTATCAGCAAGCTCTCCTTCCAATTTGGGAGCATTATCATCATGGAACATGCTAAAATATGCATTACCCTAAATCCGAAATTATATTTTCGTTCGCTAGTTGCTTATTGCCAGCAGAGCGAGAGGGATGCCGTCTCTGTTTCGGGAGGCAAGCCTTACATATAACAAAAAAATGCAATCATAATTCTTGCCCTAAAGAGGTTGAACGCACTATTTGATCTTTTGCAATAAAAATTTAATTACTATAGTAATGAGATCCCTATATATAGGGCCCTAAAGGGCAACGAACATACATTAATGAACCGATAGTCATTAGGATTGCTAACGATGTGCTCATGAAGAGACGTGTACTCGACGAACAACTGAATCAATTACGATCAACAGGTTAGCAACCAAAAAACATTTTTTATAAATGACATTTTCCATAATGGCCCTTAACATTTTTCTCAGCATACAGGCTAGTTCATTATCCATTCCATTCATTTTATCCATGGCAACATGTAGAGCAGACGACACATCGTGATCTATTTATCGATCCTGTTCCATTTTGAAGCATATCCGTAATTGCTATTTCTATTGAACGATTCTCTGACCAAGGTTGTCTGCAGAGAAATGTTTTTCGTGCCCTATTTTTAAAGGGCAAGCCTTTTGCAAAAATGTCTCACCTTCGAGAGAAGCAGAGCAATCTGAAAAACCAATCAAAAAAAGTTTGAGCAAAATCGGATAACTAATAAGAAAGTTATGAATTCTTAATGACATGAAAAACTTTGAAAACCACTAGACAAATTGGAAACTCACTCATGAGTCTGTGACGTCATTGCCTCACTATCCACTAATTGTTTTCTTTTTATTGATAATACAAATTTCCCATTTCCCCCGTCAGAATCTTATTTTTTCACATCAGCATCCAAGTTATATTGATAGTAATATGTTTGTGTGTGGGTGCAGAAGTAAAAAGTGTTTTCAAGGTATGACAAATGTGAATTTTGATAAACTATTGCAATAAAAATTATTATGTATATACAATATTCAGCAAATAGAATAAATTCTTCAAAGTTCATAAAAGATTTTGTGAAATGTCACGCATGAAATATCATACAAATCATTTAACCTGGTCAAAGGCATGGGGAAATCAAGTTTTTGGGATAAAAAGGGAAATGAATGGAATTAAAATATATAAAGCAATTGATAAATAGTGAGGATATGACGTCACAAACTGAGAACCAAAAGGAAATTTGTGTAGTGATTTTCACTATTTCATAGTTTTTTATACTTTTAAAAAATTCATAACTTTCATGTTAGTTATCCGATTTTTATATTAAAATTTGTTTTGCTCTATTTATCTAGTTTTTCTGCATCTATTAAAGAGAAATTATTCTGGAGAGGACTAAGTCTTTAAAGATACTATGTCCCTTTTGCAGCGAACAGCAAATTCTGTAGAACTTTGCAGGAATTATGCCTATGTCATGTATGTCCTATCTGTAAAATTTAAACGTTATCAATGTCCTAATATTCAAATTATGCAAGGTAACCTGTTTACTTGCTAGACTTCACTGTCAGACACTATTGAGTGACTGACTGGCCTTTTTCTTCTTTGGTAATAACATACATAAACTGAGCTGTAAAGGGTGCATGGCATTTGTCTACATCAATAACTCATTTCTTGTAATGGCCAAAATTAAACTGATTGAATCTTTGCGCAGAATAAAATGCACGACCATTCGGTACAATGGTCTGAAAATCAGACTATTACTTACTGGCT